GATAATCTTAAAATTGTTTTAAAATCCATGAGACATTTAATGATTTACTACAAATTTAACCTGATTTGATTTGAGGTTAAATTTTGCATGCTAAATTGTGTTTCAGTATAATTTGATTGTGAAATCTACATAATATTAAAGACTTAGAAAGATACAAAGATGGTTTATTCGAGGTTTAATTTTGCATTCTGTCATGCTAAATTGTGTTTTAGTATGATATTTAAAAAAGACTTAAAATCAAATTCTAAGTTTATTTATTTGGGGTTTAATTTTGCATTTTGTCATGCTAAATTGTGTTTTACTAAAAGATTTTTTTTTAAGGTTGTAAAAGCAGCCATAAAACTCAGACTGTCTGTAGTTTCACTTACTGCAATGAACTGATAAGAAAAACATCAAAGATTAAAACTAAGTTAAGGAGCCTCATTAAGTCATAAAACTCTTCCAAAAGTTACAAAAATTGTTCCAGTTTTTCACAAACTTTCCAAAGTCATAAACCACTCAGGATCAAAGGCGTTAACACAATGGTGTTATACTTAACTTTTAAAAGTTTAGTCAAACTTTGATAAGAATGTATATTCTACCTAGTAATTTGTTAATGATCCTGTTTTGTCTAATTTGATTGGTTGGATTAAAGTCAAGTGGGTAAACTTTGAATCATATAAATTTAAACATGGGTTGTAAAAAATTAAATTACCTGAACATAGAGAAAGTGGAGGACCTGGATTATTTTTCTTGTGTGAAATTCTTGGAATGTACTTGTGAAATATTGTAATTATGAAGGCATTAGTTCATCTGTGTATTAGAATAGGAAAACAAGGCTTAGGAATCTGTAAGTAGATCTGTTTAACTTTAATTCCTGCTATTATCCGACTTGCTACCAAAATAATTTATATAGATTTACTTAATTCTTCTAAATGTATTTCAATTTGATGCTTATTAATTCCTGAAATGTGTCCCTGAGTGGATTTTCATTTATTTAAACTGGTAAAATTGGTGTGAACTGAGGAATCAATATGAATTGTTAAAATTGGTGTGAACTGAGGAATCAATATGAATTGTTAAAATCGGTGTGAACTGAGGAATCCATATGAATTGTTAATTGCTGAACTAAGGAATCCATATGAATTGTTAAAATTGTCATTTTGATATCAATCTTAGCATATCAGACAGGGTTATTAATGTCCTACCTTTCTGCACCAACCTGACTAACAAATCCTGATAATCAAAACCGTTTAGTATTCTTACGTTATGGTCCATATCTTGCATAAATTAAGGGACCAATTCAAACATCTAGATCAATTTAATTGGTTATAGAACCTAGATCAGCCGTCAAAGCTGAAAATTAATTATCTAAATGATTGGTGAATACTGTCACTTGACAAATAACAAACTTGGTGTCAAATGTCCACTTCTGTCTGTCAGCGTGACCACCTAGGTTCTATACTGGCATATCAATAATATGCCTTGAAATGGACACCTTTCACAGGTAAGGTGTCCGATTACAGGTGAATGAAATTGACATCACACTACATCATGTATATTACATTGTAAGAGTATCACTGTGTGATAGACCATCTGTCTTACTATATTTACACCTACAAGTAGCAAACATTACCTGATGATAGATCACAACCTGTCATCATTCACATTTGGAACAAGAATCAAGACATTTATTATCATTTATAGCCAACAGTGAAAATAGGTATGTTATTTATTCAGAGCCTCCAATATCTACTTCACTACCAGAAATTCCAAGTTACTACACTTTTTTTGCATTATTCATAACTTTGGCTTTTCTGTACACCAAACAAATTGATAATATAGTTAATAGTCCGAATACAATGTTAAATTTCATAGGTTTTTTTTATTATCTGTGTTGATTTAAAACTGATATCACACAGCTTGTTTCCAATGGCAATATAACCATTTTAACTTTAAGCATCACCTAAATTGATAGTGTTCTTTTTAGTAAATATTTAGATCTTTGTTGATTAATGGCTGAAATTTCTTCGTCAATCATCAGCTTGTTTCTAATCATTTTAAAGACAGAAGCCAAAACATTCACCTATGTATCTCAAATATCTACTTTACTTACCATCATGTAATTGACCACAAAAAGAAAGGGTTGAATTCTATTAAAAAGTTATGAGGAGAGTTATTACTTTGTTTATATATGAGGAGAGTTATTACTTTGTTTATATATGAGGAGAATTATTACTTTGTTTATATATGAGGAGAATTATTACTTTGTTTATTTAAGACACAGAAAGGTGGCGGTCTGAAATCAATAGAAACCAAAGTAAACTTTTAAACCATAAACCTATGATATAAGTTAAAATATAACAAGCGTGAACCTTTATTATGGCATGATGAAGCTTTAAATTTCATTATTAAACATCCAATTTTAACATTATGGGATCAGTTGAGACTGAATCTGCATTAAATTTAATTAAATGCCACTTTCAAACTTCAAAACTGTACAACCATTTCTTTTGTAAAATCTTTTGATAATACATATATAATGTAGACTTAAGAACAATGTCAAACACTTAAATTCAGTCTGATACACAATGTCTACAAAAATGGACTTGTTACTCTAGTCTAATACTAGTGGATATGTTTAACCAGTGACATAATAAACTCTAATCTTTGTAGACAGACTGAGCTAATCCCTTCGGCAGTCGAGAGTTTAGTGACAGGAATTTGTTGTGAGACATGTCACTCCAAACACTTAAAATCACAAACATCATGATCTACCAATATTTATAAATTCTCTTAAACATTTGAACTTGATTCTTCTTGTGTGAGAAAAGGGAAAAACGAAGAATAATGCATCTGTCTTATCCTATGCAGAGATTTCTTCAAGATAGTTATGGTATGTGGGCTACATTAATTTTGAATTCATTTATGTATAATATTGGCGAAAATCAGGCTAAAAATATTTTAATAGTTCTTTGATTGAAAGACATAAACACCCCAGTACCAGCTAAAAGTCAATTTATCACGAATTTTATAATCTAAAATGACTATTAAAAAATGTTAATTTTCTTTCCATTAAGTTTTCTCAATTTCTTTGCCTTTAAGCATGGCCAGGTTTCTATGATGGAGATTTAATGTTGTGATAACCTTTTGATAATCTATTATTTAAAACATCAGTCATTAGCACTTTTCTCTAGACACAAAGATCATGCAGTGTTATTGTTATTGGTCAACTATTTGTGTGTATTTGCATCACCAATTCTTTGATGTTTGATAAAAGATCAGTTCTCAGTGCTCTAATTATTTTCTGTGGTCTTAAGTATTAAGATACTATCAGAAAAAATAACCATCTTCAAGAACATTCTCTTAAAATAACCTCTCAAGCATTTCACATTAATTTTCTTTATGTGTAAAATTATTTTGAAAGCTGTAAAATTTACGATAATTTCATGATAAATTTGTTTCTTGAATTAAAAAACACATTTACATGTTTGGATTTTAGTTATTTAACAAAAGAGTCAGAATTATGATAAATGCAATTTTAAGCTTTGTATTTCCATGATTTAACAAGTGTCAGAATTAATTATGCAAGCATTATAAATTTGATTTTGATGAACATATGTTGACTAATGACATATTAAGAAAGCAATTTATGCAGATTCGATCAGTTTATCCAAAAATATCCAAAAGTGTTAAGCCATCTGTTTAAGAAAAGTAGGAACATCTGCAAGAGTATGAAAATAGCTATGCCTTAAATTGTTACAAATACAACTCTGTGTACCTCCTTAACAAACCATTGTTAACACTTTATTGAAACACCCCCTTTCTATGATTGGGAATAGATTCAATAAAAATGGATCACTTTCATCAAGTAAGCCCGGACTCAACACCTTGAAATTATGGGAGGGGAATTTCAATTTTTGTTGACCCAGTGATTTCCACACTTTTTGTTTCAAAAGGAGGGTGTTTGGAGGGCAATTAACTTTTACCAAATGCCCAGGGAACTTTGAACCCAGCACAATGCTTTAACACCATTTGGTTTTAAAGTTAGAGGTTGAACAATAACTAATGGAGATTTAAACAATAACATCTAAGGCTAATCTGTAAGAATTATAAATAAAGGAAAGAGCATATAGTTGACTGAGGTGAGAGGTTGGAAGGCATATTAGCTCCCTTGAGAACCACTTATGTTGCATTTAGGCCCTGGATCAGATCCACAAGGGAGTGTAATCTAAAGTAGCTTAGTAGTTTATAAATTGTCAAAAAAGACCAGGGATTATATAATAAGTTAAAATTAGAGGGGACCAAGGGGGGTCTGGTTTAGATGGGTGATTCAGTTGATCATTTCTTCCGATTGGAGTTAGCAGTGTATAATAAGTGTTCTTCAGGATATCTTGTGTTCAATGTGGTTATATACTATACTATAATACAACCATGCAAATCTATGGATATTACAACTTATTTCCAAAAGGTAGGAAACTCAAAGCAACCTAATAATTTTTCCAAGAGCACTTTTACCTCATTAAATAACCTATTTTGAAAATATTGTGTAACTGTTAGAAGCTAATTAGGAAAGATCAGTTTCTCACACTACATGTACGTTTTATATTACAGGAAATGAGAATACCATAGGTAAAGAAAACACACACTGATATGCACCACATTTCTTGTAATTTTCAATTTTCACATTTCTTAAATTGAAAATTATATCATGCTTCAATATCCAGCTACAAAAACATAACCGGCAAAGATTTTTTTGTCAGTTTCATAACATCATTTCACAGTTATAATTTTTTTCAAGAAATCAAAAACATGGAAATTAAAATATGATAAACATCCAGATTAAGAATTAGACCAGAAACATATTAATTAAAAAATGAAGAAGCACAAAAGACAACTGAATTGTCAACACATGAAATATACAAACACTATAATAACTGAGAACAAACTCAACTAAGTCAGATCTAATCAAAGCGTTACATACACCTGTCACTCATGATTATTATCTTTGAATTTTTCAGATTGGTTAGAATGTACGATGGAGTCCGACCAGATGTCTGCAGATGAAATCTACATGGTTCTACAAGCTGATATGGTAAGTCTTAATAATGTTTAATTACTTTGATGCTTTTACCTGATGTATATCAACAAGTATTCATACTATCGTTCATTCATCTGGAAGTTTGATTATTTAATAAGAACTGGTAACTTTAGTTGGGACTAAGGTTCATTTATCTTAATATTGATAATTTGGTTTAAACAATATTTTATTTTGAGTATGAAATGAGTATTTACAATACTGATATAATGGATTTGAAAACGAGTCAAAAATTATATAAAATCATCTCAATAATTTAATAAAAACTGGGACAATCTAAACAATCCAGGTTTAAAAATCGAGTACACTTGAACAAATTGATAGTCCAATAATAATGATCAGATAGAATGAACTGATATGAACACAGCTTTATAGATAAAAACTGACAAAATTATGGAACTAATATCAATTGAAATTGTAGTGAATTATTATTTACTTTATAGTTTAAATTTGATAGCATCTGAATTATGCATTACCATTAGACGATAAGCAATTTGAATTCACAGGAACAAAAATGTTTAATTTAGGGTTTTATATTTTTTGGGGGACAAGAATTGGTTTAATATGGGGATTGATTATTTATCTGTTAAGATAAGGTTATTGAAAGGCAAGGATATTCAAAACCAGATCAACTAAACATGTCTAATAATTTGATTAATACCACTTGATGTCATTCTGACATCTTCAATTGATCTGTCCAACTTGGCAAATTTTCCTCCTCTAAAAAATCTCAACCCTAGACAGTCTGGTCACTTGTCATGTCATCTTAAACAGACCAATAAGGGAAATAAAAACTGGGATTTAAAATTAAAAGATTGAAGATGAATTGTAATATTGAAAGGAAGTGTTTAGGCTGAGTGAACAGTTGGCTAAACAGGAGCCATTTTGCCCTGTGGCAGGCTGACATTCTAAGAAAACAAAGCCATGTTATGCTTGCACAGAGAACATGCCATCACTCTATCTCAATTAGCCAATTAACAAAAACTGGTCACATGACAAGAGTTCAGTGCAAGGCTCATTAGCATATGTATAGGAGAAGGGTTAGCTGAGTACAATGAGGGCTTTGTTGAAAACTTTTGGTGAGGTCAAGGCAGGGGTTGTAGTGTAGGGTGTAAAACATTTTGATACAGTTCTTCATGGATGTTACCTAGTTTTCTGGATATTATAGGGACTATATAAATATTTATTAAGGAACTGTTGAGGTAAATTTATACAATACAATACTATGTTGTCATCTTGAGTTTATGAACCATGTAATAACTGCAATAACCCACCATTTAGTGCATCATTGTGCATGGTTGGCTTGTTGTGAAACAGAAACTGTATACACTGCGGCCATTTTGAGTTGTGGTTAGCTTGGATTCTAATGATGTGTGAGCCCAGAGAAATTTGTTTAAATTTATTTACAAATGAGGATATTGCTTCTGCACATGTTGGACCATTTAACTGAAATTTTGTGCTTTGGATTGTTATGTTTTTGAAGTAAAATAATGGTTTTGAAAGCCAGGAAGCAAAAAGTAAACAAGTTGTGACTCTTATCTGAAAATTGTATTCAGGAAAGAAAAGAGGTCTAGAAAGTGAGTTTAATAAATGACAGAGAAACTGACTGGTGTAGGAGTTATTTCCCGATCATAAAACTGCTTGTTAATTATGACACTTTTATTGTCAGGTGATCATATTTGGATAATTACTATGGACTTGCTAATTATATTAGTCCATTGGTGTTAAAAAGTGGCCATATTTTTCACACTCATTTAATTGTTTGACTACTTGACCTAGGTAACTTATCTTATATCTTATGAATTTCTTTTTTATCATTTCAGTTAAATATCAAGCAACAGGAACAAGTGTTACAAACAGAAATCGATAGTATTAAATCAAAGTTTTTGAAACTACTTCAAACAGTCGGCCTCGAGAATGAACTGCCTGTTGATTTTGATACCGAAGTGAAGATGGCTTCCCCTGATAGAGTCGAGATGACACCAACTACTACAACCCACAGAATGCACTACAGCTACGCTGATTACCTCATTGATCAACTTCTAGCCCAGGCTAGTATAACCGATTCCGAAGATGAAAGCGTCTGTACTAATGATGAAAATAATATGAACTATAATAATGTGGACACTTGTGATAATAGTAATCTGGTTTCGCGCCAGTTAGAAAATGCCAGAAAGCTTTCTGTGTTACGAGAAGTTAATATTCGTGTGTCTCAAACTCTGTCAGAAATAACTACCTCCGGCAACAGTGTTGTGAATTCAAGTTCTTCTTCCGACGGATATCCACAGACCACCACAGATGAGTCATCTTCTGAGAATCAAGTTGTACCAGATTTAGATTTAGAGAAAGAACTTGTTTCCCGTCTGCACTATTACTCTGACTTCACGATCGACCGCCAACGAAAGATTAATACCTTAACTACCAACATCATCAATGCCACACTACGTGAAAGGAGCAATATAGCAGAAACAATAGATTTAGACACTACTGAATGTCCTGCCATATCCGAGCGTCATGTTGAAGGTTGTGAAGATAATGACAGATCACCAAGATCACGAAATATTGTGGGTTCTGCATCAAACTCATCTACTTCAAGTACCCTGAGAAAATCCAAGAACAAATCATCATCTAGGAATAGCAGTCATCCCCTAGCATCATCTACCATGAGCCATAGTAAGACCTCATCATCTTCATCTCGTAGTTCTCGAAGCAGCAGTAGAAGTAGCAGAAGTAATTCTCATCCTTTGGCTTCGTCAACTGTGATGTGTGACCCATCAACCAACATCTATCCCAGCAGTACAAACTCTGAGAGTGTCTACACTTGGTCCTTAGATGAAAACACAGACCGTGTCAACTTGGAAGAATCTTACCTCCGCAGTCGAAAAAGAAATCAGAAAAATCATTCTTCAAAGAGATCCAGACATTCGTCCAGAGATCGACAACTAGAACAAGTATCAAGTCTCAACATTACCAATATGGTGTCGGCTATTGAAGCTTCTTCAGTTTCCAGAAAAGAGAATTTTACTGACAGTTTTTGTGAAGATCCTGATCTTGGTTACAAGTCTCAGACTCTACCTAGAACCAGTACCAGAGCTTGTCTGCTTTTTGATAACAAATCCAGTGGGAGTTCTTCATCTGATATCAAGACGTCCTCTCTGCCAAATATTACAGGAAGCAACAGATTGTTAAGCGAATTGCCAGCACATATCTCAAAATCCAGTCAAGCCTTAGGTTCACCACTAACAGAAAGACTTGAATTACCAGGAAAATCCAGCACTACCAGTGAAAGTCAGGAAAGTGCAGGACTAGAAGTTCACCCAGCTTCTGCCACCCAGTTTTTAGCTAGCACGATTTATGATGATTGCACACGGGTGACCGAGATAACTGGAACAGACAGTTCATTATTAGACTCTATTTTAACTGATAGTCCTAAAAGTGTTGACAGCAGTGGTATTTTTGCACCCTATAACTCTGATGCGACTGAGTCCCGGGGATACACAACTAGCAGTGTTCCCTCTTCTGATGGTAATGGTCCCCGTGCCCCCCCACCAACACCACCCACCATCAAGGCTCCAGTTGTTGCTGATCCAGTTTTTAAAGTGCCATTTAGTCCTGCTGCTCGTTCTCGCTCCAGGTCACACTCTCGCTCCAGAAAAGATTTAAGAGCATCAACACCACTACCTAGTTCTGAAGAATCTACCCAAAGTGAGCCTTTACGACGACAACTATTTTCACCCCTTGCCAACAGCACACAGATTGAGCCAAAGAGATTAGATAAAAAAGCCTTAGTTAAAAAATTCAAGAAGTTTAGCCATAGTTTTTATAAAAAAGACAAGAATGGACATTCTCAAATTCAAACTTTGGCGAATTTATGAAATGTGAAGCAAAAAAAAACTTCATAAAAAAACAATAATGTGATAAATGACACTTTATGTGCAAAGTTTTAACTTGTGATGTGTGAATATTTGCTCAGAGTAATGACTCTTGTGTGTTTTTAAGTGTAAAATATTTATATATATATACATATTATATAAGGTTGTGAAAAAAAAAGCCAACCAAAGACATCATGCCATCTGCTAGATACAGGCATATTTGGGTGCAATAATGTATGGAAGTTGAAATCTTAAGTCTGTCTTCATTTTTTCAAACTTTTTCTTCCTTTCTATCCCTCCTCACCATTCTTGTAAATAGTTTGTTTTCATATGTACAAATGTATATAGGATTTTGTTATTAAGAAGATCTAAATTATTTTTGTTCCATAAATCCAGTGCTAAGTAAGCTGTCAGAAAGATTTTCTAGTCTGTTGAAAAACTTCAATAAAGCCAGTTTGAAACTATTGAAATCTTGTTTTATTTACATTATTTATTGCAATTGGGGGGGGTTGAAAATGAAACAAATCAGGATGTGTGTACTGATATTAGCGGGAACAAACCGGTTAGAATTCGGATGTACCCACGAGAGATAGAAATGGGTTTAACTTCCACTTGTTCTTTCGGGACTAAGATATGGTTCAATTTTTAATATTTCGCTTGTGCATAGGGGTCTTTCGCGGTGAGAGCAGAGAGAAACCCATGAGGTTGGACAGGCAACCCTACTCCTTGTCACCTACAAGCGGGAAATCAAAACCAAGCCACTTGACTTACAGACGAACCTTCTGATCCAACGTGCACATGTTAACCAATCGCCCACCCAAACCCCCGGCGACATATTCATGTTTTCATACTGTTATGGGTAACGGGTTAAGGAAAGAGAGAAATGGGTTTAACACCCACTTGGCACAAGTTAGATCATTTTGGGGCTAACACATGGTCTAATTGCATGAAGTGGTATTTAGCAGTGGGAGAAAGTCCACAAGGTTGAAATGACGACTGTGTACTCCGTGTCATGTGCAAGTCGTGAATCTTGACCCAATGACAGACCTTATTATGATTTAAATATCTGGTCACCCAAGTCCCCTGTATGATTAGTGAAGAAATATTTGGGAAAGAAGATAACAAATTCATCCTCAATTATTGTACCGTAGCATCTTTGTATTTTCGTCAGGAAAAAAGACCAGATCACCTATATAAATGAAATGAATTGAAATGGGGTTTAACATCCTACTGTTCTGCTCCGAACAGGGCTAATGAAGACGGGCATACGCCATACAGTGTGATATGAGAAATTTTGCCCGGACAGCAGCACTACAGCCTATTCTTATATTGAATTCCAACTGTCAAGGGATCTTTCATGTGCACGCCAATGTATACATGGAACCTTGGTTTTTCGTACCATCCGAACGTCAGGCAAGGGGGAACCATGCTGGAAATTGTCTATATATAGTATATGTCAGTTTAGGGTAGATATATCCAACAAGGAGGTATGTAATTTAAGAGACCAGTGATAATATTAAATTCAAATAACAACTAAAAAGGGATGATCAAGACGATGTGCATTCTTTTTGATAAAATAAATATATTGGTTCTCATGAAACTTGGGTATAATTTATATCCCATGGTTGTTCAGACACTAATCTTAAATAGTTTTAAGATTAATTTGTTGTACAATAAATGATTATCAAAATGTTTCCATTAGTGCCTAACTAAATAGTTAATTAAAATGGAAAATAAAGACAATAGATAAGGGTGTAGAAGGAGCCTTGTTAATACTATTAAAACAACTATACAATAATACTTTTCTTGATAAAAGTTCAACATTAAAACAAGGAATACATTTAATCATATTGAAGTAGATTAGTGTCGAGTTTGACTACAGCTGTTGCAAATTATAACATTCGTGGATAAACACTATAATAAAAATATATCTGCCAAGCATCATATTGAAATGCTTCGTTATGTTAAAAAAAGAGCAGACTTTTTGTCGATGGCATGATACACATATAGGTGATTCAAAACATTTTGGATTTGGTTCAATTTTAGAAGATAGCATCAGCAGGTTTCACTGAGAAATTGATCAGTTAGAGACAGTGTTATATAAATTTCTGGATTAAAATATCAAAGCTTTATGTTAAAAATCTGTAGTGGAATCCTGAATTATTCATATACTTGTAGCCCATGCTACAATCTTTACTTCTTGCTAGATAGGTGATGCCATTCCATTGGAATGATGCATATAATTGTCATACAGATCAGATATAATAGCTTTTGTTGTTAGAGTGCTCAAAAGGTTCAACAAAGTGAAACAAGGGCCATAACTCCAGAAGAAATTAATGGAAAATTATTGAAATTAAATAGGATTCTTCATCTCACTAATGTAAATAAATGGTGGACTGCTGGCAGGGGCAACGGTAATATACGACAACATTTCCGTTTGAACGTATAATAATGAAACAAATACACAACTGCAAAATGAACACAAACACAACATATACAGATAGCATGTTCATTATTGGTCAGGGCTCCATGATTTATGCTCAATAATTTATGTAAATATAATGTATTTTGAGCTTTCATAAGTATTTTCTGACAAGAGTATTCAGGATTTTTCATGCCTGGTTACCATTTGTCAGATGATGTGTTTGTGTGTGTACTCAGGTACTGACAAAAGAAGTGTGTCTAGTCTTTTGGATGGTATGGATAAAATGAGGTTCATCCCCAGTAGTTTGTAATTTGAAGAAGTATAAGCAGATATGGTGCTGTCTGGGCAAAATTTGTTCTGATTATTACAAATACAACAATAAAAATACAATAGGTTAGTCTCAAAATGATGGAGGTATAGGGTTGACAAGACATCTTTCCTATCCTTTCTGGGAGTCGTAGTGGCTCAGTGAGTAAGACACTGGCTCACTAACCTAGAGGTCCAGTGTTCGATACCTGCATTGGCCGAGATAGTTCAAGGGGTTTTTCCCAGTGGTGCAGGACAGTGGGCCTGAAAAGGTACAGTGTATAGTCGTTGGATGGGATGCAAAACCGAGATTCAGCGTATAGATTGGCATGCATGTTAAAAATCCCTTGGCAATTGGAATTCAATAAAAGAGTAGATCGTAGCCCACCGTATGGCATATACCTGTCTTTATAAGTCCAGTCAGTGTGGAACAGTAGGTTAGAACATTAAAACCCATTTCATTTCCTATCCTTTCTTAACTTCAAGAAATAAGGGAGATAATTTGGAAGATTGTTGGCCAATATACATGAACACTATTAATTGAACATTCCCACTGCTATTATTTTAGCTGAAGTATTACTTTTTCTTTTTCAAACATCTAAAGTCAAAGTTTAGAATCAGACTAGAAAATAACACAAAATTCTATAGACAATTACTAAATGTGAAATATTTCTTAAATATTACAATTTTTAAATTAATCAGAACAGATTTGTTAAATACAAATTTGACTGAAGCATAAGGCCCATACAAAGGAGCATATCAGGTCTTTAGAATCAACAATCCTTTTCTAAAATTGTGGGTCTTAATAATATGTGTATGTAGCCAATTCTGTCAAAATCTCTATATAATAGAAAAGTTATAATTAAACAATTTGCTGTCAAAAACCAGATTTGATCAGTCACTTCTGCTATTTATAAGCCTTGAAACTTAAGTCTGAATTAAAAAAATCCATTATTTGTTTCCGGGTAAAAACATATTCCAGTATCAAACAAAATAAGCTAATTTTGATAAAACATAAGAAAAGGAATTTTTTTCATTTGACTGAAAAGACAAAAGCTGATAATAACAAAGCCATACCATATAAAGTTATTAAATTTTTAAATTAACAAATTTTATTCAAATGCCAAACATATTTCAAAGATATCTCACTTACTTAATGAAGAGATGTCAAACATTTCTCACAAAACTTGACAGACGGGGCTGCCTGTCCGTCTGCGATTTGATTAAGTGACAAACTGATAGTCACACTCTACATGACTGACAGCCATTAGAAGTTAATCTTTTAAGCACTCTAGTTTACAGGCCTAATACAGGGTATAATAAAGATAAATATTCTTTAGAACCATTTTACAGGTGTTTGTTTTCTATTGGGTCTTATTATTAATGGAATTAGTCTCCAAACTGATAAACTTTTATTTATTATGAAATACATACCTTTAATAAGCTCATTATCAGTACACAAAGTAAATCTTGACTTTACTAATACATTTACTTAATTTTCAATGATCTTTGCCTTAAATTTTATGATCAGATAATCCACTGGATTAAGGTAATAGATAAAGATCATTAGGCCTATCAAAGTGAATATTTTAAAGGATAAAGAATTAACTAGGGTACAATAAAAGTATCAGCCATGTTCAAAATTTTTATGGAAACGGGAATACCATACAGTGGAAATTTTTATTCTAAAAATCTAATACTTTGTCTATGGTGTAAGGTGTAAATAATCATTTCAATATATTAATTATACACAAATACACATTTAAGACGGATAGATCTCACAAATTCAAGGAGAAATCCATGATTATTTCTGTGTGATGAGCTCTTAAGATTCCTTTGTTCTAGTCCCAAACAACTATCTGAAGTTCAGTAATATATTTTCAAAATACCTATGTATCAATGGAGCAATAGAATTTGCAGGTTACTGCTACAATTTAGTGACCAAATGGGAGTATTTACAAACATTATCAAGTGGTCACAAATATCTGGTAAGTCCATAAAAAATGGGAGGCAAGCTCTCAGAGAGGGATGTAGCCCTTATTAAATGTTTGGCAATCATTTCCAAATGGCTTAATATTTCATCTGAAAGTATTACACACGGTAAATAGTCTATTTCTTCCCATTTCGGAGTTTCATAAGAATTCTTGACTAAGCTAAGCTATTCCTTCGGATGCACAGTGAACACTATGACTTCAATGGCGGTAGTCTTTCAACCAAGATCCCCTTAAAAATGGTGTAGTTTTATCTTCCATTTGTGTAGATTTCTCACATTTGAATCATGTTACAAGTAATATTTATGAATAGCAAACTTTATTGCGAAAATATATAGTTTGAAAACAGAAAATACAATTTTTAACATGATCAGAGCACTACATGTATTTTCAAGGTGTGAACACATAATTACCATATTGGTAAATCCAAAATGACTAGAATGTAGTATTATACTGCCAGGTGTTTTCAACTGAAATACTGTCATAAACGGACATTAAAATAAATTTAGATGCAGAATTACAAAGGAAGGTTAATTTTCTTTTATTTTTTATTGTTTTAATTTCCGTCAAATCATAAATAATCAAAGCTATCTATACAAAGATCACTTTAGAAATGACCCCAAAAAACTCCACCAATCATCTGTTCATTTAAAATCAATAGGTAAATCTATAAATGGATCTAATTGTAAATAATACAAGATCGCTATTAGGAGTTATCTCCCTTTCTGTACGATCCCCTTGATTCAACGTTCTTGCAATAACATAAACAGAAATGAAATGAAATGGGGTTTAACGTCCTACTGTTCTGCTCCTATACTGGGCTAATGAAGATGGGCATACACCATACAGTGTGCTATGAGGGAAATTTTGCCCGGGCAGCGGCACTATCGCCTATTTTATATCGAATTCCAACTGCCAGGGGATCTTTTAAGTGCATTCCAATATATACACGGGACCTCGGTTTTTTGTCTCATCCGAAGGACTAGACAGCTGTCCTTGTCAGGCCCTCCGTCCTGCATCACTGACAAGGGGGAACCACGCCGGAAAATCTGGACCAACTTTCTCGGCCAATGCAGGGATCGAACACCCGACCTTCAGGCTAGCGAGCCAGCATCTTACCCACTTAGCCACGTGATCCCCTAAACATAAACAGTAGTGGGTAATCAGTTGAATGTTCGCTAAATCAACTCTCATAATAACATGAATCTAGTAAACTGAGTAACTTCAAGTGACAACACAAATGATAACCAAATAGCATGCCACTACTAAGAACCCACTTTGTGTTATATGTTTGTGTTATTAATACAGATTTCATTTTACTATTTTATAAAGTCAAAAACTCTCAGCTAAAATTTATACATCTGATTTCTAAAACTGGCTGGGGAAGCAATATCAAATTTAGTAAATAGCATTGAAATAATCTCTTGCACTGATTTCTCAGATTTCCCATTTGCACCAAGCGTCATACAGAAACAACCTTAGTAGTGGCAAGTCAATACTGAGAAGGCTGAAACACTGCGATTTCCAGTGACAATAATATATGTGTCAACATGAAAATGTGGGCATTTAAAAATAGCTGCTTGACTCAAATATTGCATTGACAGGACATTAAACAACATTCTATTCTGAAATTCAGATATGAATGGAAGGCAGTCCTTTGATTATTTTGAAAATGTTCATTTCTATAGTTCATTATGGTTTGCAATGCCAGGGAGAGAATTTTGCCCCAGACAGCAGAGTTTCTGACTACTCTTCATCAAATTTAAACTACTAAGGGTTCTTTTACGTGCACAGTCATACACAAGCACAGGCCTACAATAAATATACTCACTGGTAACATGTATTTCTCATATCTTTTAAGTATTTTGCCTTGCTTCTCAGGTTGACCGTCATAAAAATCATTGGTGGCTAAAGCAACTAACATCTCTCTTTTAAATTTCATTCCAAGTTGAGAATTCAAGTTAACTTCATTGGTCTAGAGGTATAAAAATAATTTAATTTACATTTAAAGACGGAGAATTATATTTTGACAATATCATGTAGAAAATGCTTTGTGGAATGACAGCGCATTATTATCATATTTTTGATGTCACTGTTAAACAAGAAATTAATAACTAAAATGCAACCAGTCACATTAATTTCAACAGACATCAAAGTTTGGTAATGCAACTAAATAAAGTACAAATAGTTACCCTTATAATCAGCAATATCATTAGTGATACCCCCCCCCCCCACCTCACCATATACTATTTCTATTACTAAAATTGTATGGTGATCTGATCCCAACAATGAACATTTTGTATAAAAGATGTGATTTATTTTGAATATGTATTTTATAATATACCTGTAAAATATAGTGATCAAAACCATAACAAGCATCTATTAGATTTAAAGTTCTTGGCGTGACTCGAACTAGGTAAAATTTATCAAATATTTCACTGTACAAGGGTCTCTTGAATATATAGGGTAACCATAGTTTTGGAGTCCTGAAAAAGAAATTTACATGAGTCGAAATGCCAAGTAAAATCTTGAATTAGGTTATCTTAAAGTCCTGATGCGCCATTTTAAGCAATAGGAATCACTTGCAAACTACAATATTGGGAAAGATGTATCTCTAATAGGAAGGAATATCAGTCCAAAAATGGTTCAATTCCATTCAGTATTTATGCTGCTCAAGCGTAATAAGGCACTGCAACCTTTTATCGGTAGTGGAGAAACCTGATTGCCTTAATTTAAATCCGATTGAATCGGGAGATTATCTAGTGTTTGTATTTTGATTTTGTTAGATGTTAAGTGATCAGTTTGAGTTCATATTATTTAGAGTGTATTAAGCAGTGAGAAATCTGATATTTTAGCGAAAATGCAAATTCTTATTTCAGAATCCAATAGTTTGATCTTTTATGCATACACTAAACATCATTTACATTTCATTTACCCACTCTATTTGTAAGTTACCATTGGTGTAAAATTGAAATTTGAAATACTAAGCTTTTAATTTAGTTTTCTATGTTACTGTTGATACATTTAGTTTAATTAAATATTCAACTTACTTGGGGCTTAAATGTTTTTTCTTTCTATGGCCAACAATAATACCTTCACCACCCCATAAATCTTTATTAGATACTTCTGGATACATGACTTTTAAAGGAACATTCTGTACTTTTACTCTGTAAAGGAAAAATAAATGAAATGCAAATATTATGTTATGACACCCCATTAACATTGTATTACTAAAAATACCAGGGTATAAGACATAAAATATATCCAAAATTTCTCAATCCTTTTTTTAGAAATCTTTACATTACAAACCCTATTTATTCACCTTGAATTTGATCAGACTTTCCTATCTGTATTGATAATGAACGGATATTATCAAATATCAAGACGATTGCAAGACATTTCTTCCAAAATATGAGATGCCATCAAGTAACGTGATAAAATGTATTCACATATACACGAAAAACAAACTTTTGGGCAAACGCTATGTACATATTTCACAAAGAATAAATCTACCATAAAAGTAAATGTGATTGATTGTAACATATTTCTCCATGTTTTTATATGAAAGTTTAAATACAAAAATATCCTTTTATCATATTATGGCAGTTCTATATTATCAATGAGAATACAGATATCTTTTTTTAAAAACTAAAATATCCTGCTGTATGATAAAATATTATGTTACAGATATTTTTTGTCATACACTAAGGGGAAAGTTCTGCTTTGCTAATTTGACTTTTCTCTTATAAGTATTAATTCGTTCTTTGGTTGGACTCTACTGGGGGGTGGGGGGCCAAATGGTTAGCGCAAGCGCGTTGTATCATAAGGTTTGTCATTGAGTCAACTGGTGTGGTTTCGATTCCCCGGTTGTATGTGACAAGGAGTAGGGTTGTCTGTCCAACTTTGTGTGTTTTCTTCGGGTCCTCTGGTTTCCTCCCACTGGCTAAAGATCCTTACGCGCAAACAATTATTGAAATAAAATTGAACATGTTAGTCCCAAAATGACCTAGTTTGTGTCAAGTGGATGTTAAACCCCATTTCTCTCTGGACCCTACTGGACAAGCTGAATGTTAATAAGACTAGTTTTTAAGTATATAATAAAAATTTAACCATAAAACTCTGTAGTGATATACCTTTCTCCAGTTTTTGGATGAACAGTAAACTTTCTTGTATCTGGTTGCCAATGAACAGTCAAAGGATCAGCTTCCATATATTCTTTACATCTTCTAAGATAATGCTGAGGTAAGAGTTCTTTAACTTCATTGGAAAATTTGTACTGATACGGTGCATATCCTACACAAAAAGAATTGGATCAAATAAGTGAAGTAATCAGTATTTTAACAATACAAACTGATTGTTAATATTATATAAGCTGGAAGGGTTGTAAGAATGACTATATGCTGCAATGCAGATTTTTCTTCTTCTTTTAAACAATAGTTTTATTTAGGATATGTGAACCCCAATAATTGTTTCAGAACATTTTCTAGCATTTAATTCATTTCCATACATGATGACATGTAAACAAAAAAAACCCCAAGCATTTGGTGATTTTAACATCTATTTAATAAAACCATGAATGAAGGAAATTCTGTTTATCATCCTACTTTTCTCAAACAACATGGCTACTGAAGACGGGCATGCACCATGATGTGCCATTTCACTCAAATCAAACTATCTTTTTTATTCCGACAAAGTTGTTTTAAAAATTTTAGTCTGATTTTAAAAGCACTATATTAGGTGTATGAAGCAAACCTCATCATTGCCTTAATAGTGAATCTGCACTAGTCCACATCAGAGCTTATGCTCACTTTAGCAACGCATGTGGGGTATTTGTAGCTTTCTGTACCTGACACAGCATGTTGGCTTCAAATTGGATTGATCAGACAGACAATCGGGGAAGTACACTCATGCATGTACTGAAGCAAGTGCAGAGGTGGAAACAAGTTGTGGGACCTCAAGTCAGAGTCAAGTCCCAAGTTGCCACACCTCGAGTCTAAGTCGATTCCCAAGTCACTGAGCGGTGTTTCAGCTATTCTTCATAGAATTCCAACTGTCAAGGGTTCTGTTTTGAGCTAGCCAATGTGTACATGGGCCTTTGTTTTCTGTCCCATCTGAACGACTAGACACTGTTTCTTGCCAGCCACTCCATGCTACACCACCAATAAGGGGAAGAAATGGTGGAAACTTGTGAGGAACTTTCTCAGCCAACACTGAGATTGAACCTCGGAGCTCCTGGTCAGTGAGCCAGCACCTAATCACTGAACTACTATGGCTCACATGTGCATAGAAAATAAAATTCTATAGCTCAGCTACCCCATTCTAAAAACAAAATAACCTAAATGGAACTAGACTTTATTGTTGTGATACGAGATGGAATAATGGTGGATTTGGTTACAACTTCCAAACTTGCTTGGAAATCTAATTTTGAGGGGCATTTTGACATAAAGAGCAATGTATTATTATTATCAAATATTGATATAAATTATTGTGATGAGTTGAAATAATGGTGCATTTGCGTAAATCATGCTATCCCTATGGGGGTACTCGAATGAACGTTCCGGAATTGAATTCTCTCAATCTCCAAAAGAGTGACAATCAAGTGAAAAGGGGTATTTCGGGCTACAACGTATGCATCGACTGGATAAGTAAATATATCAACCAACCATGCAGCTGAAACATATTCGTTGTGTTTGATTACGTCATGATTCTACTCACACCACCTCCATAGTCGGGACTGACAGAACTGTGACAGGACTGAATTCTACGTCACTTGATTGTAATTCTGTCAACTCTGGACATTCTGGACTGTGAATCGAGCACCTTCAATATCATGTAAAAGGAGTTAACTCTTAAAGTCTATTTGGTCTATTTTTTCTGTCTACAGAAATGAATTTGGTTTAATATCCCAATTTTCTGCACTGACTAGGCTACTGGAGCAGGGGCCAATCAAAGAATATGCAATCGGTATTCTAGCCCCCTTTTTTTTTACAGGGTGACCGGTCTCGATTCTAAATGTGAAGCCAACCTTCCGCTTCTCGGGCTTCTGCTGGCATTCAATTTGACAATTTCATAATCAGCCAATGGCCATATCATTGGTCACAACATGTCAAACTGGGAATATAATCTATCACTGGGCAATTCACGTCACACTAGTATTTCAACTTGCATTGACATTGATTGAATGTGAATGATTATTATTATTAATTTTATCATTGTTATAATAATAATATGATGGCGAGTAGGACATACAAAAATGGTAATAGATTTTAGCAGAAAACCCCCACAAAAAATAAGACTTTGCTTTTACAATTTTGGATACTTAAAGATATAAACATACTAAAGGCCGATATTCTGTATGCCATAATTACGCCTGTCTGAATGAAAACAATAACTTCAAGTTCTCGCTTCTCATTAATGCCCAATGGGGGCCGCCATGTTGGATTGCAGTGGTTAGCAGACGAAAGTCATCGGTTGGTTTCGTCTCGGTCTCTAGCTTTATGATTTTATTCCTCTACATCTAATTGAACGGACAAATTTAAAAAAAAATCAAATTAGAAAAAAAGAAGAATCTTTAATGTTTGATGGTAGTGGTCTTTGTGTTACTGGATATTTAGTGTGAATAAAAATGAATTAGAAAGTCGCCAAGAACTATATCAAAAATGGAGTGGCTTCCCTTTAATCTTACACTTATTAGGATCCTGAAGACACAGCCATAGTCTATATTTCTATGGACACAGCAACTTAAAGAAATTCAAATGTCTTACATTATTTCAAAAATGGAGTGGTTTCCCTTTAATCTTACACTTCCACAGGGTCCTGAAGACACAGTCACTTTAAGGAATTAAAATGTCTTACATTATTTTGTCTAGACTACTTATATAGTGGTTAATAATGTACTTTTTATGTAGAAAGTTTTATTTCCATCCCTTCAAGTTCAAGTGCCAGAGCAGTCATCATGGATTGAGAGAGAAAAGGAGAGAGAGAGTTTAACATCAACTCAACACAAACTAAGTCATTTCAGAACTAACATAATCAAATGAGTCAATTTTATTTTTATAATTCACCTGCGCGTAGGGGTTTTTAGCAGTGAGGAATCTGGAGGATCCAGGGAAAACCCAGAATGGTAACCTCACTCCTTGTCATGTAGAAGCAGGGAATCGAAACCACACCACTTGACTTAAAGTTAATTCTGCTAGGCTTAAAGAACTGGCAAAGCAAGGATTTTTGGTAAGGGGGTTGAGTGGGTGGTTCCCAATGACTGATTATTTAAATTAATATTTAAAATCCGATAGAATTTCACTAATCTGCACAGTACCTAAAAATTCCAAAGAGATCAGCTTATTTGCCTTACAATGTACGGTAGTCTCTAGAGTGTTTACAAGAAAGGGCTTCGACGATATACAACCACATTTCCATGTGTGCTTGTAAAACGACTACACATTGAACATTGACCATACCGTACCTGGAATGTGTCAAAAGCTCCACATCTGTCACAAGTAGGCCCCGAGATAGTGAGAAATATAAGAGCTCTGATGACCATACACAAATATAAATATACCACACAGACACAATCTAGTGCCACTATCTTCTTTTTCAATGAGTAAAAACAAACAGAAAAATTCCATTAGAACAATCCATAAAGATGTCCACGATTTAATATACCCACAATATTAAAATTATATAAAAACTTATTTGCATATGTATACAGTATTGTTCTACTTGAACAAAGGTTTATCTATCTATATATATACATCTAATTTAAAAACAATTATAACACTACTTAGAGGATATAAATTTCTTTGAATTAGTTCAAAATACATGTATTGAATAGGGTTGATCTTATGTATTGATTTCATTAGTATAGAACAAGATTTTTATGATGAAATTTTAAGCATATTAAACATACATTATGCAAGAGCTAAATCTGCCTATTGCAGGTCTTTCTTTAGGCCTGAAATGTTATCTGAATTATTTATTAGACATTAATTAACTTATCCAGGCCATAATCAAGTCTTGATGTCATCGCTAGCCTGCGGTATAATTAGGATCCGATTTGCTGCTCAACTTTCATTCATGATTAAATCATGAAATGGATAATTGAACCTATGTTTTTTATCGTACTGACTTTAGTAATGAGGATCGAGACTAGGCCGAAAATTCAAATGCTAAATTCTCAGTTCAGAGTGGATCAATTTGACTGAAATTTTCAGTAAATCCCCTTTACATTATCTAGTTTTTAACTATTATAGTGAGAACTGCCAGCTCTTTATCTAATCTTCCATAATGTCTCTTTAAGTAGAAGTTGGTTTATGTTGACAGTTGAACACGCAACTCAACAATGGCTTTAGAGATATTTTCAATCAAGACCACTTGTCATCTATAATTAACATAATCAATAAAATCCACAATTTTAATTTTAACCGAAACTAAAGAAGTTTAAACATTTTATATTTTTTGATTTAAAGGTAGTTTAAATAAAATAAATGACTTGACGTAAGACGCTGGCTCGCTAGCCTGGAGGTCGCATGTTCGATCCCTGGTTTCCTCTTGTCAGTGGTGCAGGATGGACGGCCTGACAAGGACAGCAGTCTAGTCATTCGGATGATATGAAAAACTGAGGTCCCGTGTATACTTTGGCGTGCATGTAAAAGATCCCTTGGCAGTTAGAATTCGATATAAGAGCAGGCCATAGTGCCACTGTCCAGGCAAAATTTCCCTCATAGCACACTGCATGGCGTATGCCTGTCTTCATTAGCCCAGTATAGGAGCAGAACAGTAGGACGTTAAACCTCATTTCATTGAAATATGATATTTATTAGAAGCCATCTAGCCTTGTAGGGATACTTTGACGAAATAAAAACACAGAAACAAAAACCTCCCTCCCGCATCAGCTTTATCTGAGGACCAGAATTTTTTTTTAGTATGGCCTAATATTGAGATAAATCTGATATGTTTGTGAAACAGCAACAGGGTTGTGTGAACCAAGGCTCTTGTTTCAATCATAGTTAACAGCTATGGCAGAGAGGAGAACATACATGACTGATTGGAGATCAAACATGACTGACTGCAGAACATACATGTCAGTCAAATTACATGTCATAAAATTAGATATTTCAAAGAATACAACCTTTATTATACACAATAAATACAATTATATTTATAGTGTTTATGTGTAAAAAATGATATTGTGCTAAAAATGGCCATATTCATAGGAAAATGTATCTTGCTAATTGGAGGTAAACAAAATATATCACAATATCTTTGTTAAAAAAAATGTAAACCAATATATTTCTAATAATCAATTGTTATGATGGAGTCGCTAGAATGGTCTAACCATTATTTGATCTGTGTTGTCATACATAATAAGTGGGCTTTGACACACAAAACCAATACATATTTATATACAATACTTCATGTGGTTGAATACCATTTAAAATAGAAAAGAAATCTGGACATACTTATCACATATCATTTATTAAGTACATTTACGTTAAAGATGCATTATGTAAGATTTAGATAAAGAGCTGACAATTCTTGCTATAATAGTTTACAAATAGATAATGGAAAAGGAATACATTTAAAATTTCAGTCAAATTAGTGAACTTGAGAATGTTTGATGAATAGTGAAGTCTCGATTATCCATTTTAAATTTAAATTATTAAATGACAATCGTGTTTCAATCCGTTCAAAATCACACCGATCCGATTGTCTGGAAATTTGATTATGGGCTTTTGTCATGTGAATAATTAATAAATCACATAGCATTTCATGCCTAAAGAAAGATCTGCAATGCTAAAAATTTTTTAAAAAAATCATGTTTTGTTTCAAGTCAAAAGAGTAATTTTATTCAGATTAATATCACAGTTTTGCTACAAATAATCAACATATACCAGTCAAAAAGTTAAAATACATAATAGCGTAAATTATTCCTGAAAACATTTTTCTTTCACATCTAACTTGAAAACACTTTAGTCTCTTTATCAAGAATGAGACACTGGTAAAACTACCTGAATTATCCAGGCATTGACCCATAATTACCGTCTATGTGGATGTTATCTTTTTTGAACACAGCAATGAAAAAGTGTCAATATGAATAAAACAAAATATATTATAAAATTTGGAATGTGTTAAAAGAGGAAATGAATATTGGTGAACACGAAAACAATATACACAATATAACAATTCAGAATAAAAATGAGTAATTCCCTTGATATTTATGTCTTTTTTTAAAACATATCCAATACATTTTCAAACTGATCGTTATGGATTTAGGTTTGTGATTGCCGAAATATATCTTTGAACAAATCCACAAACCTGAACTATATATCAAAGTATATAAAAGTACAATAACAAATTGGGAACTAATCAAGTTGTAGGTTAATACACAGGACACAATACTATGGAACACAATTACAGAGCGAAGTTTCCCTAATCTTTATCAAGCAAATGATGACTGAAGTGGTATCAGGTGTTCTAGAAAAAAATAAGTTATTAGGAACAACCTTGAGGCAACACTGAATACCAGTATTCCAAAATTGAGTATTTGAATATGAATTGACAATTCTTAATGATATTGCACAGATATTTAAGGTTGTCCAGGAGATTTTGTTTTGTGTCATGGATCAACTTTTCAGAATGTTTTATCTTTTAATTTAAATTTGATACCAATTGCAATTCTTTAAAACTTGATAATTTTCTATGTAACATTTGACATTCACTTTTTCAGAAGAATGAAAACATTCTAAAATCTAAATAAAAATCATATTACAATTTCGTTTCATTTAATTTTTTGTTTCCGTAAACTGTAATCAAACATCTTTTCTTGTATAGCCATGTTCTACTAAATAAATATTTATCAGATAGTATACATTCTTATATATTTGGAATTTAATAATTTTCCATAGTTTTATTACAAAATACAGGCCTGAAAACCAATACAGGCAATCTGATTAATCAATAAGGTCATGTGATCTAGATACTGGTTTAAGAAAATAGGTTAATATAGCATCGAAAATTAGAAATCAAACGAAACATAATTGACATTTGATTTCAATTAGATTAAACTCTCTTTAGTTGTGGTTTATTATGTACCAGGATATGTTTAGTGATTAATCTGATCATCAGCTCTCACTTGTCAGAACCCCTTTCATCGAACATTTTATCCAGCAGACAATCCAGCTAAAACTGCTCCTGTTACAGATACTGAACCAGCACAAATCAAAATCAGAAAATTTCGTTTTCCCTGAAATATATAAATCAACATAATTACCTGTAATTTGTGAATTTAAATACAGTATTTTTTGATTTCTTAAGTCTATTCTTATTTATTATTATTGACAATCTGGTAATACTCAATTTCTTACGAATTGTAATATTAAAAATACTCAATCACTTCAATTGTCGTTGATAAACATGCATTTTACCAAAAAGATGGGTTTAACGTCCTACTGTTGTACACACTGATTTTGCTCAAGAAGATGGACATAAGCCATACAGTAGGCAATGTGGGAAAATTTGGCTGCACAGCGACACTACGGCCTACCTTTTTTTTTTATCAAATTCCAACAGTCGACTGGATGACAATGTATACACGTGACCTCGGTTTATCTGTCCTGTCGGAACGACTATAAGTTATCCCACTGATCGGGGGAACTCCACCAGAAAATCTTGATGGACTTTCTTGATCAACACAGAAATTGAACATGGAACCTCCAGGTTAGCATGTCAACCTCTTACTCATGATATTGGGTTGGACCTTTAAAACGATACCAATACACAGGAACAACTAATAGAACTGAGTTTTAGTTCATTAGGGGTGGGGATGGAGGGTGGCCGAATGGTTTAATGAATTCTCGTTGGATTCCCTCCTGTCCGACCTTGTAGGTTTTCTTGAGTTTTCCCTGCACTCCCACTGCTAAAGACCCCTAAGTACAAGTGAATTTTTCAAAACAAATGGAACTATATGTTAGTCCTAAAATAACCTAGTTTGTGTCAAGTGGAGGATAAACCTCATTTCTCTCTCACTCTTTTAGTATATTGTCCCTGGATAATTCTCACCATTTTTAACAACTATTTAATTCCACAGAACGACACACCATGATGAACTTTCGCATTAGTTTTAAATTTGACAAAATAGATATAAATACAAATCTCAACTCCAACATCAACTACAACTAATATTAAGGCCTCGAAATTCTTTTATTTTGCCTCACGTATCGTCATAACAGGGTTCAAATGTACCTACCTTAATTTCCTTGAATACCAATACACCCCATACTAGAGTAGCCATCAGAGCTGGACAAGTGGTAATAATTGGAAATGTGACAGCTTCTGATTTTAAGGCTTCGTTGGCTACAAACCAACACATGGTTGCTATTGCCCACATGATGCCAGAAACAATACCAGGTAAAATCACTTCTGGATATACTCGTGGTTTATTCTTCATCAGAGCACAATATATAACAAAATACACTGTACTAGCCAAATATATACCACAAAAAGTATTAAATACATAATCTAAGGCTGAAATAAAGAGAAATATAATTATAAATTCTTAATCAGACAATAAAATTTCATGTCAACATTTATTAAGCATAATATTTCCACATAACCAAGATTAAACCAATGTATAGCAGGAATGAAATGTTGTACTTTTCTGCTCTGGACTAATGAAGATGGGTATACGCCATGCATTGAGCTACATGTATGAGGGAAATTTTGATGGGACAGCAGCACTATGGTCTAATCTTATTTCAAATTCCAATTTTCCATCTCATCCGAATGACTAGGCACTGTTCATTTGGAAATATTAAGGCTCACTTAATATTTAACATACAAAAACAGACCGAATGTGGGCAAATTTACATCGATAGCAAAATCATTCCAATTTATTTGAACATCCTCCATATAAAGGCTTAGTCAAATCATCCCTTTGAAATATCACTAATTGCAAAAATAATATGAAATTGTATATTATACAAAATACTTACAATCCTGACTACTTCCACTACTTTTATCTGTATATTGTACATGAAGAGATGGAGTAAAGATGACACCATATAATAGCCCTGATACTAATGATAATACAATACCCCTAAAATAAAACAAATTGTATATAAAATACTTAAAATCCTGACTGCTTCAACTTTTTTTATCATTATATTGTACATTGAGAGATAGAGTAAAAAGAAGACCATATATAATACACCCGATACTAAGGATAATACAATCTGAATAAAATACGGATCTATATTTCGTTTCATATTTTTATACTTTCGATACATGAAGATCTGACAAGTTGTTTTGGGAGGTAGCGTTAGAAGTCATACAAGCGGCTTTTGATCCTATGACGTCAGACATTTGATTAACCAATCAGCACTACCCACAGGATTACCCACAGTTCAGTGCACCTCAAGCCAAAAGCTCGCCATAACAGACCGTTTCATTGGCTAATCCCTCACATCATCTAGAACACGTCAATGATGACTCTTCCAGATCCTAGTGTAGTAAAGACAAGTAAAACGAAATTTTGAACTATATAAAAGAAACGAAATAGGATCTGTGTTTTAATCAGATTAAGGATAATATAATCCATTCAGTATTTAAGATATAATGATTTGAAAATTCGGCAGACGATATAAACACTATATGGTCAAAACTCAATAGCCAGGGCCACGGCACCTGTAATTCGTTTTATAAAATCTTTAGATGCATAATCTTGAAGGTAAATTAAGGATTCCAATCTCAGATTACCAGATGATTTCTCTGTGAACATTGTGAAACTGGATACTGAATATATACTTACGTTATTTTCTTTGAACCTGGTGACATTTTGTCAATAAATGTTTCATCGTTGTCTAGCTGAAAAAAACCAAAACAGAAAAGTTTAAGTTTCTGTAGTGTAGACCGTCAAAATTTATAAATGGTAATAAAATAAAGATTAACTTTTAATTAGATGGCCTAACAATTGTTTCTTGAAAATCTGAAACAGTCTGCATCTGAGAGTGAACATGATGTTGTTCTCATGTGTATAATGTAGCTAACAGCTTTGGCTTCACATGTGGATTTGGTTTTGCCATGTCTGTCTTTTGGTGTGAATTCTTTATTATTGTTCTTTTTTCAATAAACAATAGTTTTATTCAGTAAATACCTGAATTTGAATTCGAGAACAGACTATGCCTATCTGTAATCTCTCTCTCAAATTAAATGCATTCACATACATACACAATTACATAAATATGGAATATATAGAACATATTGTCCTTCTTCAATAAAGTAATAAATTAATTGTTCTGCTCCAACTGGGTTATTGAAGACGGGCATGTGAGGGAAATTTTGCCTGTGCATTGGCGCTACGGCTTACTCTTATATTAATTTCCAACCAGCAAGGGTTCTTTTATGTGCACACCATGTACATGGGACCTTGTTTTTTGTTCTTTCCGAACAACTATACGTTGTTCATTGCCAGGACCCTTGTCCTGCACCGCTGAAATGGGGGAAAATCCTGATGAGCCAATTAACAGTTTAAACTATGGTAATTCCATTAAAAAATCATTTAAGCTTTTAATGTTACCTTCTTTTTGTTAAAGACTAAAACTTCATTTGATGAAGAGGCATACAGAGAACCAGCATTACGGAATTCATCTTGAACCTGACTCTGTTCAAATAGAAATAACAAATACATTTCCTTTAATAAACAAAAGACATTTTAATATTTACATTTCTTTAAATGAGTTGTCCCAGAAATGTTTTATTGGTAATATACTTAATACTTTCTACTGTTACAGGCCTAATTATCAAACAGCTCAATATTCTCAAAACTATTATTGGAACCAATGCATGTCTGCAGTGCCAGTATCCAGTAGAATTGTATTAGATGTAAACATTGAACTTATGTGGTATTAATGCCTAATTTATGATAATTTATACACAAAAATACCTGAAGAATGCAAAAAAAATCATACTTCAGAGCTTGAGACACTCTGGGACTCTGGATGCTGTATCACACATCATTAGAGGTATACCAGTATTTGCCACGCAAATTATCAGTTTAATTGAGATATACTGTTGAACTGAAGACATGCTAAAAAGTGAGTTGTGGCTCATTTAAGATTGATACATGACAAGTGAAAACTACTATGACTGGTAAAATTTTCATGGCACCGGATTCAGATTCCAGAATGAACTATTTCAAATAAAAAGGTTGTAAAATGACCAAGTATCATCACATAGTGCCGCCACTTTTATTTCATTAATCAAAATCTGTGCCAATAGACTACTTTTATTTTATTGTTTTTGTTGTTTTACCATGTGACAAATCAAAAATAGAACTCCTGTAATTAACTAATCGAATTGAGACTGTGTAAATAATTAATTAATACACCCATACATACAGAGGTGCAGCTTAAATTCTGGACCAAGGACACAAGAATGTCTCTTGTCTTACAAAATTGTGTGAAAAAGTAAAAATAACTGTTTTAATTGCAATATAATCCAAATTAGTATCAGTAATTTTCTTTTGGCCATTTCAGGTTTAAATGGGTTTAGAAGAAATTTCCTAAGTGAGAAAAACAAATTGTTTAAGGTTTGTACTAACTGTATCCAACAAACGTTCAGTTTCGGCATCATTTGATTTAGAGGGAACTGCAGATGAACCACTACTAACTTCACTTTTAACAAGAACATACAATATTGTACTGAAAAAAATAAAAGTAAAAGTAAAATACAATAAACGATGACACTGCTATAAAACGTAAAAGGTTATCTGGCCAAACTCAGCAGAAGCCACAGTTAGGGTACACAAAAAAAATTGTGATTTCATGGGAATATATAATCATTCGTGTAGAGTTTTACATTTCAGGACCTGCTGACAAATCAAAAATTATTTATGAATGACAGGTGAAGATCCCCATAGCACCACTGTCTCTTTAACATATTGTCCTATATTGTTTGCTATGATGTTCTCAATAATATTTTCCTTACCTAAAAGCTGCTAAAGCCACCCCAGCATAATTCATTGTTTCGTTTGCTAACTTTGCTTTTTCAGTACCAAAAAGTCCAAACCTACAAAAATAAAATAAAGAATATTTTCAGTATGTTAATCCTTTCTTTTTTTTTCACTAGTCATAAACAAGTGTGAAATTGAAGACAGCTAGCATATACTCAGTCAAGATTTAGGAATGATGTAGCAAATAAAAATAAAATAAGATGATATAATCTTAAAAAGAAGATGTTAACTTTCCAAATAAAAATAAAATTTCTTTAGTTTAATATTTATATCATATTCAAAAAAAAATTAGACTTGCACAATTATCAATAATCCAAAACAATATTCCATGTAAGTTCTCAATCCTAATTGTTGTATAAACCTAGTCAAGCTGCATTCAGTTGCATTTTATTTTTAATGCGGTCAAAATCTCCATAGAAAGGAGGAAAATAGGTTTGAAAAACAATCAAATAATGGTTGATTTACTTACGTTCCAGTGGCCCATCCTGCTACTAAATTAGACATACCCCATATACACATTCCTAATCCTAGACCAATTGTTTTAATTATTGGAACTACACATACATTACCTAATAAAAATAGAAATAGATTATAACAATGAGAGAGAGAGAGAGAGAGAGAGAGAGAGAGAATCTACTAAAGCCATTTTGGGACTAACATATATCTGTATTTAAAAATTTGGCTTTTGTGATGGGGTTTTATTAATAATAGTAATAAAGTTATTTATATAGCATCTATTCCATGTCGAGTTGTGCTCTAAGCGCTCCTAATGTCAGCCTGGATAAGGTTGTTGAAACATGCGTGTTTTTAACTTTTTACTAAAGTCAAGTAATGTTTTGGCACTTTTGATGGAACTGTTCAAATGTTTGTCATTCAAGCAGTGGGGGGGGGGGGGGGTGGAATTAGAGAACCAGAAGAAATACCCATGATGTTAGGCACCTAAGTCGACTTCAGTGACTTGACCCTATTTCTTGAAAAATGGGAATATTATAAAATATGATTTAAAGTGAATGTTAGATGACTCAACCAAGCCACCTCCCTATATTAAACACTGATAAAACCTACTAACAGAATCATCTGGTAAACAAAGAATTAATCCAACCTGACATGATAAATTAAGCGTATCGGAATAAACATGACCTGCAGAATCAATACAATGACAGATTAAAAGAGAGGCCCTTCTCCAGAATATTTTGAAAATTACATTGGCTTAGAAGAGTTTTAGAGCTGAACATCTAACTATGGGAAGCAGGCCCGTAACTAGGGTGGCTTTGCCCCCCCCCCCCTGAAAAAATTTTCGCCCCCCCCCCCCCCTGTGAAAAAATTTTCGACCATAAAAAAAAAATAGATATACATTGTCGTCAATATTACAGCACCCCTGAGAACACTTCTCGCCCCCCCTTGTTGCTCTGAGCTAGTTACGGCCCTGATAGGAAGATGAACATATATTTTTATTCTAGCTTTTTGACTTGTAAAAATGTTGATAATTCAATATCAATTTCTTCCAAAAGTGGCCTTATCTCATGCACAAGGATCAAGTTTTCTCTCCCTAGATTCAGTGTTTTCTTTTGGGAAATATTCAACCATTTTTGTGGTGGGTGGCTTGTGCCTCTACAATAATCCCCTTGTAGGATATTTGACGATAACGCTTATTTTTATGGGGTACCTTAACTATTTTTACTAATACACACACATCAGCAGCAAAGATGTTCTGCTAGGTCTAAAATCCAAGTCATTACTAATCCAAGAAACAACAGGGTCAGACCCAGTTTTCATTTACACAGTTTTAACAACACAGCACTTGACACTAGATCAAGACATCCTCACTTTGGTGGGCCAGTTCTCAGTGCTAAAAATGTTATGGAAAGGGGTTAGATCTGACTTGTAATGTAATTGGGGTTTATATAGAAAAGGAAATGTAAGAATTATAAGGATGGGAGATGAGAAAGACTACTGGTAGATTCATTGATGAAAATTAATTAATAAAGCTAACTCTTATTGACACCATTTCCTGAAGCTGATAACCAGTCACTTTTGGTGACCGACTTCTGGTGACCTACTTTCAGAACAACATCCCTGACTAACAGTATATTTTCACTAACTGAAATTCTACTACGACTTGAAATAACTTACCCGTAGCCCAAAGTACTCCACCTAATGTTACTATAGGATAAAATTTGGCAGTTCTAATTATTTGAAAAATCAGACCACATATAAATATAGCAGTACACAATACCCACTGGAAAAACATTCCTGTAACATAAATACATATTTTTTATTAACATATCCGGTTAACATTATGTTACATAAGATTGGTGAGAAGATGATGTCAGGTTGGCACCACATACATTTCAAATGAGAATTTATAAACTTGGAATCGACAAACACCTGGTACATATTTAAAATGTATAATCTAGTACATTCTAGCAGTTTGAAACACAGTGTGTGGACTTTTATGTTGTTGATCTACTTGATTTAGGTAATTAAAATTCCAATGTGGCCTGGCCCCTCTTAAGGAAATCAAGCAACCACTGAAACTCAGTATGGATATTACAAGGTTTGGTTTATTTTTACTTTTTTTTATAGTGATCTATAGGAAAAAATACAAATAAATGAACAGAATAGGGTTTAAAGTCCTACTTTTCTACACCTGCCAGTCTAATGAAGACAGACATATACCAGGAGGAAACTCTTTCCTGGAAAGCAACTGAACTGCAACTGTCGGGGGTTCTTTTGTGTGCCAGCCAACATGTACATAAGAAAGCAGTATTTTGTCCCATCCAAACAACGTCCTACCTGCACAACCGACAAGGGGATCCTGCACTATAAATTGTAAGGAACTTTCTTGGCCAACGGAATAGTTACTTGACATATTCAATTGATGATTGTGTAGTCTCTTGCCAAAATTAAGAGTCTCTTTTGCTGAAAACTTATATTTGAAAATAAAATTGTTGATTTTCATTGATACTGTACATACCATCTCCAGTTTCATATTTTTTCACAGGAACAAAATTACTACCATAAAATACAACAGCTACTACTGCACATATAAATCCCATGTACTCGGGATACTCTGTTGTAGAAGGTGCTGCTGTGGTTGAATTAGTTAACATTGTAGTCATTGAAGGAGCAATCGTCGTCGTGTTTAAATTTAACAACATGTTTTCAACATGCTCCATGATTTGTTGCTTATTGTTCACTTTACTAATACTATTAAAAACTTGCTGAGAGTATATCTAATAATTTATAAAACCAGCACGACATTCACCAAATCTACTTAAATATTATCTGCTTGAAGAGACCTGAAAAATATAAGACATATTTTTATATTGGTGAGTCAAAAGAAATAAACAAATTAATATTTTATCTGAGTGCAGATAACATAGAAAACTCAACAATTCATCATTGTATTAAACGGTTGACAAAATAATATCAGTATTCATAATTGTAACTGATCAATCATCAACATTGAACCTGTGTTTTATATGTCCATACAAATTAATATCATCTACTAGTAAGGGTTTATACTAAAGTATGAGCCATGACGTTTTTGCCAGTAAGCCTATCCAATAGCGATATTATGTTACTATTTATTAGACCTAAAGATTCTTAAAATTATTAAAGAAAGAAAAAAATAAGATGAAAATGTTAGGAAAATATCATAATTTTTTCCTTTCAAGGTGTCCCTTGCCGCTGAATCTTTGACTTTCAGTTGGTCTTTGCAGCCAATGAATTTTATTGGAAGAAGATATAGACAAGCACTATCCTACCAACATACAGACCAATTTAGGTTAATGAAGATCGCCAACCATGCAGTGGGCTATGAGGACATATTGCCTGGGGAGCAGCATTTGCCTACACTTTACTGTCAAAGTTCTACTACCAAAAATTCATTTATAAAGATCTTTTTTCACCAGAACCCGGTAGTCCAAGTAACTATCATGTATTAATAATTGATTTTATATTTGGTACTTACTTTCTTAATAATGTATATCCACTTTTATATATTTTTCATCTATAAATCTAATAGTAATAATGTCATATTCTATGATAATATTATAAGTAGGCTACTACTAGTAAGCTGCTAAGCAGAATCTGAGAATTGGTTATATTTTATATTATACTAAACAGCAAAAAAAAACGTCAGTACGATTTCAAAATGACTTACTAAATGGATCAAAGCAATTTTTTGTGAATAGTATGTTGACACATTAGTGATTAATTCATCACAATTCCAAGACATTACGAGAAGGTTTTGAGTCTGTACACAGTCTATACATCAGTATCTGGTGTGTCCACCGCGAGTGTCAATAACAGCAGCGCAGCGTCTGTACATGGAGTGGACCTGTCGATTGATGAACGCTATTGGGACCTGGAACCACACTCTCAGAAAAGCCTGGCGCAATCCATCGGCTGTGTTTGGTCTCGGTACGACGTTATTGAGTTTCCTCTGAATTTCATCCCAAAGATGTTCAATCGGGTTTAAGTCCGGACTAAGGGCTGGTCAGTGCATAACGTTGACACCATTCTGCTGTAGAAAGTCCCAACTCCCAAGTAACCCTGGCGGTGTGGGCACGGGCGTTGTCATGCTGGAAAACGCTGTTTTAATGATGTGCAAAATGTGGTATGACGTGGGGTCTGAGAGCTTGATCGATGTAGCGCACTGCTGTGATGCCGCCTACTCTCCCTGGACCAAGATTTTGAAACACCACAGGACCCACTCTCTGGTTCAGGACGATTCCACCCCAAACCATTATGCTTGGACCTCCCCATGAGTCTCGTTCCATGACACATTGGTCAGAATAACACTGGCCACGTCGACGCCATATTCTGGTCCTGCCATCTACATTTGATACGCAATACCGGCTATCATCTGTGAACAGAACAGTTCTCCATTGCATGTGTCGACAGTTCTTGTGTTGTTGGGCAAACTGTAGATGTTCATATCGATGGCGAGGGGTGAGGATTGGTCCACGGTAAGGTCTACGGCAATGGATGTTCTCTCTGGTGTGACGTTGGCGCACTGTATCGATACTGATGGGTCTTCCATGTGTTCCCAAAAGCGTTGCTTTAGCCTGTAGATGGTCCGAACACTGACCTGGAAGTGATTGGCAACGGCATGAGCAGTGTGGCCAGTGTCGATTTCTTCCAAGCGTCTGGTTCCCTGAGCTGTCGTGAGTCAGTGCATGCTGCTGACGTTGTAGTGTGAATGATTCAACCAGGTATGGGGGTTCATTTTATAGAGCTGGTCCCGGTGAACAGCACGTGCAGCATGAGTTACATGAAAATCATGGAGAAAACATATTACTATCTCAGAAGTCTGGTTGCGCTTTTGAGAACATTTGCTGGGTTCAATTCTGTGTTTGGGAAGGAGCCTTATTATTGCTCAGGTAAAGTTGGAGATGTGGTCACAAATATACAATAAAAACATTTGGCAAGTTTTATGCAATGCGTCTATTTAAAGATGTGGTCACAAATATACAATAAAAACATTTGGCAAGTTCTATGCAATGCGTCGTCTATTCAGAGTAACATAGGCCTACCTACCAACCTGACGTTTCTTTTGCTGCTTAGATAATAGGAACCTGATATATTCCTCAAACTTCCTCTTTTTAATTCTGTTTCTACGATCTAAGGCTAACTTTTACTTACTCTGACTTACGTTTATACATTTCTGTTGAATAGAGTAGAATTCAATCATAGTCATATGACTCTTAATCTTATGGCTTCAAGTTCAACTTCAAGAAAATCAATTTGATGATTCAAAACAAAGTCTGAAGTCGTTGACGTACATAACATAGAAACAATTCAATGGGCATTATTCGGGTTTCAACTAAAATACTTGTATGGATAATTGGTATGAAGAAAATACAATTTTCAACTCTCCAATATCCCACTTTTGACCATTTTATCTACCCATAAGTTTAAATATATGGGTCAAAAACTTGGTGACCGTCCGAACATGGCCATAGTCATATGATCAAATAGTTCAATCGGACAACAACGTTTTTTTGACCTACTTTTAAACCCCGTTGTTCTAAATTGGGTCAACATGGATAGTGGGCTCACAAAAATTAAGGTTAATATTTCGCGTCTTTCAAATAGTTCTTCAAATATAGGGATTTTTTCTCAATCTTGGCGCATATAAAAGACAACCCACATACTATAAACTCGTATCCTAACAAAATCGTATATGAAAGAAAGAAAACCTGCTGCTCGGAAGCTGCGCCAGTCAAAGCACAATCATTGCCTTACCTCCACATCTTGTAAATGGTATTTTTGAATCAAAATACATTCATTAAAAAAAATAATATTATTCTGGATGTTTTACTTACAAGGCGGTGGGCTGGACGTTATCCCTTAATTAATACTGTAGGCCTGATCGCGTCATTGACTTGCAATGCCAATGGAACACGAAGAACAAATGTGCGTTCAAGCAGTTATCAATTAAATTGATTGATAACAGAATTATTTGATTTACATCATAAGATAACACATTTTTAAAACTGAGTTACAGAATGAAGTACATGCATCAAATAGAAATATGTGTCAAGGTAATTGATAACAAAGGTTGATTATAATGTTTCCCCCAAAAATATGGCAATGAAGAATGGTATGACCTGACTAATAGTACAACTGACCTGATAACGTTTTACTTGAAAACGTTGAGAGAATACTCTCTGAAACGTCGCCTAAATAAATCAGTAATTGTTCTTCCATAAGTATGTGTCATAGTTTAGTGATAACAGAACAGTTAATATAGCAGTATGTCGATCGCGTAAACGTATGACAGATCAATTCTCAGAAACACAAAATATTGAATTCCATATAAAATGAGAATGTTGAAAATCACAACTGAAAAGCGTACAGAGTATAAAGTGTGACTTTTAAAAAGATAGGGTTAATATAACAACACGGATCCGGCTGCTGACTTCATTAGTAAATCATGTTTTAAAAAGTGTGAGAGTTCAAAATTATTGGGTGGGGGGTGGACTGGGAACAAATTGGTCGAGGTAAATCCGAATGATAATCTCGAATGTTAATGGGAAATAACTCTCAAATGGAAACATGTGAAAGTGAAAGTGGATGGGTCAACGGAAGCAGGAAGAGAGAATAAAGCTAAAATTCCACAAAATAAAATTTTAATATCTGAACATGAAACGACGCATCATAAACAGAAAGAAACACGTAACCTTATTTTTGCTACTATTGTTTCTAGTGTCACCTGTCAATTGTTTGGGGCCGTTTTCAAACCTTTACAAGGAAGTGGCTGGTGCCGTTACCGGTTTTGTGGCTTCTGTTTATTATTCAGTTAAATCAAAGTTTGGCAGTGAATGTGATAATTATTGGATTACTAAAAACACAACAGGTATATTATTTTTCGCAGTGTCATAAATTTTATTGTTTTGTTACGGTCTAAAATATTAGACTTTTTCTCAATAATCATCTAGCCATTTTCATGCAATGATAAATGCTGACCACAATTATTTTGATTTGATTGTTGACAGCCATGTTTTTGTTTTGAGTACACGGCACGCATTAAAGGAGGCAAGTCGCTAACTCAGTATCATCCACAGTCTTCGATATTGCAAACACGACTTATTGTCTGTTCCAGGTAATACTACGACTCGAAAATTGCTTGTCATTTCTTCAAATTTTAATTAAAATGGCTAAAACTTCGTGAATTACCTCGAATGGTCACCCCATTGCTTTCTTTCTTGTGAGAATAAGTTCAGGTCAAGTTTTATAGCTGTTTTCCTTTGTAAAATTGAAGTTTGTTGACATCTTACTACTGGAAACAGCCATGTTTGGCCTAGTTATCCGGGCGAGCCTAAATGGACAAGAGGTGCTGGGTTTGCTTTAAGTCGTTTCACCCTACTTGGATGTATTGGTGGTTGTTTCGGTCCAGTAGAATATAACTCTTTTCAAAGAGTTATTTACTGAATCCCAGACCACGGTTGTTTGTCCCACTAACTTGAATATTTAATTGCCCTCCGTCCGAAGGTTGTAATTTTTTGATATCGATATAAGCTACATGCAAATTTTAACCCGCTACCGTGCTGACATGTGATGGAATTGTGGAAGGAGGCTTCAAGACATACTCAAACGTAACTCGGTCCACAATGTCCATTGGTTATGGCGGTTTGCATTATTCAGTGGCTTAAAATTTGCCTTGAGAACTGTTGGAAATTTTAAACTTGAGCTATGACTGGCATGGTGATCAACTAATTTTCTATGTAGCGCAGTTCCTAATGAAACCTTCAACAAAAATACTACTACTATTATATAAGATCATTGAGACAGTTATTAAATCAATAACATGACATATGTGACTGTTAACTAAAGATTAAGATAAAGAGCTGATAGTTTAAATATTATAGTTTAAAAATAGATAATGATAAAGGAATATATTGACACTTCAGTCAAATTACAAAATTCTGAGCGAAGCTATAAATGTTGGGAGTTTTGATAAGAAAAGCGCAGTCTCGATTTCCATTGCTACCATTTTTACGATAATAACAATATTCTCGATTATCCATTTCACTCCATTAAAATTCACGACCATCCGATACTTTAGAGGGTTGATTATGTAGGCCTACTGGTCATGAGAATAAATGTCTAATTAATAATTTAAATAACATTTAGGGCCTAAAGGAAGACATGCAATAGGCAAAGGGGGCTCTTACATAATGAATCTTTCAAAGAAATTCACTTACATACGAGCCATTACTGTGTAGATTGTGGATGGTCGCTAACTGGTCAGGTCAAATGTATCTAATTTTGGTGAACAGTTTTTAGCCGTCCTTAATTTGCAATCCGGCTTTGTAGAGCCCTGTACACAGAATTTACGTGTATATTTAGAACGTAGGCAATATTTTTTAAAAAACTTTTCATTGGTTTATAATTCACTGTATTATGTTTCTCAAATAACTACAGTAATATAATTGTTTGACACAAGAAAATTATCCGTCATTTCCTTGTATCTGTAGCCATTCCAAGAGCTATTTGGCTGATATTTTTGTCTAAGTAAACTACATCAAGCTGAACTCATGCGCGTCGGTGATGGGCATGAGTGTATACGCCGCCGATTCCACAAGATGCTATCATTGATGTCTGTCTACAGTCAATCTATAGCATATTAGGGCACCGTCAGCTAAACAACACCTATCACCTCGGTGGATGCAGACGTAAAATACAACTAACAAACTAACTAACATAAACAACAAGAATTCGTTTGAAAGTGGAAGCATTAATTAGACCAGACTGATGTGTTTGAGTCGATGGTTTGGGTCATTTGGGATCCCTGCAACGGGTTGGAAACGGACATATTTGGGTTTGAGAAAAGGCACTTTCAGCAGTAAAAAAGGGCCCTGCCGAAAATTAGGGGGGGGGGCGAGGGGCCAACCCCTTGGATCCGCCTCTGCAGCGCGACTTTTGATCTTATGACATCAGACATTGATTAATCAATCAGTGTTAACGTTTCTAGTGGTTTACCCACAGTTCCGTACAACAAAAGTCCAAGAACTCGCCGTAACGACCGTTTCAATGGCTAATCCCTCACATCATCTAGAACATGTCAATAATAACAACTCTTCGAGATTCTAGAGTAGTAAAGACAATTAAAACGAAATTTTGAACTATAAAAACGAAACAAAATAGAATCTGTGTTTTAATCAGATTACCATTCAATCTGTTGCAATGCAATTCTATGAATATCGATAATGTAATGAACAGTGGGCAATATTAAAATCTGTGGATGTATATATTCGCAAAAATATAATTTTTGCCAGAATGACGTCATTTTCAGTGACCAGTTGGTTACATCTAAGGAATATTCACAGAATGCTGCAATTTTTTTTTTATGAAAATCAAACAACTATTTATTCCTTTATGAGCATAAAAATTGCTTATTTCCTGGACATGTCAAAAATTTGAAATGATCTATGGATTTTCGTTTGCTCTTATATATGACTTATATATGTATATGCCTTTGAAAATAGTTGTGTTTCAGCCTTAAGATCTAAATTGCAGGAAAACGAAATTCGAAAATTGATTTCAGTCTTGTTCTGCTTATTTACAACAGCAGCTAAATTTTAACCTCTAAAAGTGTTCCGAAAAGGTAAAAAAAAAAAAATGCTTGTTTCTCTCAATCAGAGCTATAAAGTCCCAGAAAACAAAATTCAGAATCATTTTACCCGACATATTTATTCAAGTTTAAATAAGGGCTAACCTTTTACACCAATTTACTTATTTCTGAGAGTTCGCATGGTTCTGACATGTGCCGACTTTTCAAAATAGCTTTAATCTTTAAGTCACTCAAAATTATCCAATGAGAATTTTGTGCGAAATAAGCAAGGTGGAAACAGAAAAAAAACCATATCAATCTGAACAAAAACAATATTGTTTCAAACAAGCTTCAAAGTGTGAAAACCTAATAAGTATTATTATCGCGAAACAAACGGAAGAATTCTCCTTCACTAGACATTTCTAACCCCGAATGCACCAAATTTGTGAAGTACCTGTTTACATTTATGCGAAATGCAAGTGTCCCATTTAACGCATGCGTAGTCGAAATGTTTATGTTCTGAGAAAGTGACAATGTCGAAATATATGAAATTTACAAGAGAATACTGGATTTTATCAGACTTCTAGTCATTTATTCTAAGGGAAGAAATCAAAGGGATGACAATTCCAGGTATGTCACAAAGTTATAGCCATTGTAATTAAAAAATGAAGGCATGACAAGCATTTTTCGAGTCGGAGTATCAGCTGGAACAGACTGTAAATTTAAATCAACATTGATGTTGTTATCTTACTGTGAAAGATGGGCTTCTGATATCCAATATTTAAGACAAAATGAACATTGCCATTTGTAATGAAGCATCTCGATGAACGAGGATAAACATATCCTACAGGAGAATACAAGAGGTGTAGACTGGAATAACCAGATGCCTAAGACTGTCATTCAATTTGGACTCCACATATTTTGCTGAACATAACTGATTAGAAATTGCAGTAAATACAGAAATGATTGAATGTAAATCAGTTTATATTATTCATATTACATTTGTGTCCGTTTCTAGTTGCCAAAGAATCAAGATTTAGTGCCTTTAATTAATTCTTTGGCCAAGCACCCAAGCCAGGTAAAGGGAATCCTGGAGCAGTTTCTGCACAAGCGATGGTTAAAATGTATTTACATATCTCTTTGACAAATACCAATTATAATATAATATATATCTTTAGGAAATGGGTGAGCAATTTCTATTCAAAGATATGTTCCTTCAAGAATAATTGGGTCATTTGCTGACCGTCTGAACTTAAATTTATTGGCAAGTCAGTCAGTCAAGTCAATCAGTGCGGCTTAATGTCAGCTTTTGCCTAGAGTGATATCGCAGATAATTGTTTCCAGGGAGACTTGCAAGAGGATCCTCACATACATGTAGGTTGGAGACGGGTAAGCGATTAAAAGACCTAGTCACTTACATTTCCTTAGTTGAAGTCGTGAGTGCCTTGAGTTATGAGTATTGGTATCCAAGGTAGTTCTGGGTAAATTGCCACTGGAGTCACGATATGATACGTATTACAATTCAGGTGCTACAATACCATTTGTATCACGATTCATAACCAGGTCTATATTTTGATGTGGATCAAAATAAGGATCAAAATAAGGATTAAAACAATTTAAGAGTGTTTGTGCACCTATCAATCCAGCACTAGTCCAAGGTAGTATTCATGACCATACTGGCTCCATCCAAAGGCATTGCTACTGAGTACAAGTAGGCTACTTTTATTGGCAAGGGCTAGTATGCTATTTGCAATACCCAGTTAAAATCAAATTATGGAATCAGACTGCTTAATATTATTTTTCTATTATTTGCTTCAGGTTTACAGACTATACTAGATAAAAAATTATATGGACAACATCTTGTGTTACAAGCTGTAGTAAATCATGTTAAAGCCCATGTCCATAATTCAAATCCATCAAAGGCATTAGTTCTATCTTTTCATGGTGGAACAGGGACTGGTAAAAACCATGTGAGTCGAATTATAGCTGAAAATGTATACAAGAAAGGAATGAAGAGCAAACATGTCCATCTTTTATCAGCTACAAAAGAATTTCCTCATAACGAAATGATACATTTTTATAAGGTAAATTAATTCAAACACCTAGATATTCCAATCCTATTTCGTTTCGTTTTTTATAGTTCAAAATTTCGTTTCACTTCTCTTCACAACACTAGGATCTGAAAGAGTTGCTATATAACAGGCGTTCTGGTTGATGTGATGAATTAGCCAATGAAACGGTCTGTTACGGCAAACTTTCTGGCGTGCTCTGCAGGGAACTGTGGGTAAATCCCTAGAAACGTCAACGCTGATTGATTAATCAATGTCTTGATGTCATAGGATCCCCCCCCTCCCCCCGGCCCCCCAGTACAACTGGTCAGATCTTCATGTAGTGTAGGCCATTGAAAGTATAAAAAAAACGAAACGAATAGATCTGTATTTTAATGAGATTGTACATATTCCAACTACAACCATGAATTTATTTTCCAATTTGGGCTTTTTGGCACATTTGTTTTTAAAATACAAATATAGCATTGTAAAGATCACTGATGTACTGTATGACAAACTATCTTAATGCAATCAACACTGTTGAAGTCATCATCAAGAATTTGTCATGGTGTCTTCACTGGGTGTTGTTATTAAATCCTGGCACACTCTGTCTGTACATAGGCAACAATGTAATGTTTATTATCTTAATTCATTTTACAGAATCAATTAAGGAATTGGATTGAGACAAATGTATCATTGTGTAAACACTCTATGTTTATATTTGATGAAATGGATAAAATGCCTGCTGGTTTGTTAGATACTATTAAACCATATATAGATTACTATGAACAACTAGGTGGTGTCAACTACAGACATGCTATCTTTATATTTCTTAGGTAAGATTTCTGGCAATATTAAACTGTTAACAGGAAAAGGTCTTCCCAGAAGTTATCAGATACAAAATTCAAAATTACAAGTGTCTTACCACACTAACACTATTTATGGAATAACAATTACTGGTTTATAAACATGCCACAGTTCGACGATGAAACTCTCGTCTTTATCAAGTAAATGATGCCACTTAAAGAAGTACAAGTGTGTTGAAATGTTCTAGAAAGGGTATACTTACATGCAGTATTGTGCATCACATCCATCACTACTATGAGATTGTTTTGCGTTGATCTGGCGCTTTCAGTACCGGTAATTAATTTGGCAGAGTTTATGTTAGTTCTATTTTTGACATACGTAACTCTAGAATTTTTAACTTAATCACTGTCACTTTAAGCTCAGACTAATCTTATTATCAGTATCCATCCCTAATCCACTGTTGAGTAATGCTACTATAGTCAGATTATGTCTCAAAACAAAATTATTTGAAATGCTTCCTTAAAATCTGTTATATTTGAACTGTACTTAAATCTACAGAGTTTATTACAGTATCAGAAATTTTGTAAAATAAATCAAAGGATCCAATATAATCGGATAAAAAATGTCACTTTCCTTCCTCATAATTGTCCACGAATTCTTTTAAGTCAATATTTATGGATATGAAATGAATAATTTTGATGTGTATCATGTTTTCAGTAATACAGCCGGAACTGATATAATAGAATACAGTTATAAACATTGGTTGAGTGGAGAACCAAGAAGTAATATTAAACTTAAACAAATAGAAGCCATTATAACTAAATCTTCTGTTAATGCAGAATCTCAGAGTAAGTATAGCCTCTTAATATTGTGATATTTTGGATGAATTGTCATCCTTTTTACCTCTTTTCTACAACACTATGGCATGTAGAGGTTTGGTAATGCCCGAGGACAACTCCTTCATTGTATGTCCCCCAAAACTCAAGTATAGGGCCTAGTACTCACAAATGTGAGAAAGGAAGACATTTTAAATATGTAAAAACATATAAAATAAACTTTTTATTCAAATTAGATAGGGCATCATGTATAATAAAGTTAACAGCTAACTTAAAGATACATTATGGGAGATTAGATAAAGAGCTGCCAGTTGTATAATAGTTAAAAACTAGATACTGTTAAGGGAATTTGCTGAAAATTTCAGTCAAATTGATCCACTATGAACTGAGATTTTAGCAATTGAATTTTCGGCCTAGCCTCAATAATAATTACTAAAGTCGGTAGGATAAAAAACATAATCTCGATTATACATTTCATGATTTAATTACGAATGGAAGTCGAACAGCAAATTGATTAATGTCTAATTAATAATTTAGATAACATTTCAGGTCTAAAGAAAGACCTGCAATAGGCAGATTTAGCTCTTGCATAATGCATGTTTAAAATTAAAAAAGAATAATCAATTTTAATGTCACTCTTTGATTGAATGCCCATCCCCACTCTGCATGTCACTACTTCAACATCTCTTGGAGGTGGGCAATCTCTTAAAAGTAAATTTTATGTTAAATTATTTATATTCGTCATGTTGTGAAATGACAGAAGCGAAAAACTGAATTTAAAGGCACAATATTCCAGAATAAAAGGAAAATATAAACTTTCAACCCATGCCCAATAAAAATGAGTTTTATCAAATGGCACATTGGTCTAAATATTATTTAAATTGATCCGACCTAATTTCAGATTGTAGGAGGAACAATGCTCTTCACAACTATTTTAACATTTCGTTCGTTAATGATAATTGTGATTATATTGAACTCTGGTAGTTTTCTGCTGCCAAGTCATCTTGAAATTGAATTTTAACGTTTTACTCTTTTTATTTATAGGTGGATTATGGCACAGTGAGTTAATTTCAAAACATCTTGTAACAGCATTTCTACCATTTCTTCCCTTGGAGAAGACACATGTTCGAGAATGTATTAAAGATACACTGGTTTCAAGAGGCTATTACAACCTTTCTCTACATAAGATACCAGAAGAGATCATTATAGAAGTGCTAGATGAACTTACTTTTTTCCCGGAAGGAGAAGAGATTTTCTCTGTCACTGGTTGTAAGCGTGTAGCCGAAAAAGTAGACTATGTTATGACCAGTTAGTGAACAAATAGTTTCATGATTTGTAAATATGCTTTATGGTTGAAACCTTTTTTTGAATTTGACTTGAGAATGGCATTGGTATGAAGGGTGAAACAATTTCAAATAAAGATGTCTGAACCATAAGACATATTATAAACAAAGTTCTGATTATCATTTAAAATTAGCATGATCCTTGTCTCAATCATAGTTGTTGTGATTCTGACATTAAAATTAATCCTCAGAAATCTACCTGTCTATTAATGGACTGTTTCAGTGAAATGACGTCACCATCATGGTTAGACAAATTTCTCAGTGTCGTCATATTGTCACATGACATAGTGCTATTTCAGTGTATTTGAATAATATATTGATACACCTCACTTCAAATTCAAAGTTTAGTCTGCACTGTATATTTGTCGACATTTTTTGATAACTGTTTTGTTGTTTTTCTTTATAATAAGGCTAAAGATCTATGTATATTTGGTATTGTATGGAACCACGGTGGCTATGTGAGTAAGACATTGGCTCGCTAACCTGGAGGTCCTTTGTTCGATCCCTGCATTGGCCAAGAAAGTGCATCAGGATTTCCCGGTGTTCTTCCCCCCTGTCAGTGGTGCAGAGCAGAGGGCCTGGCAAGGGACAATATATAGTTGTTCAGATGGGACAAAAAAAAAACAAGGTCCAGTGTACACATTTGCGTAAAAGATCCCTTGGAAGTTTGAATTCAATATAAGAGTAGGCCGTACCGTCGCTGTCCAGGCAAAAATTCCCCTCATACCACACTGTATGGCGTATGCCCATCTTCATTAGCCCAGTTGGAGCAGAAAAGTAGGACGTTAAACTTAAACCCCATTTCATTTCTTTTGGTATGGTATAATTGACAACATCTGCAGAAATGCCAACTCTAGTTAAACTTCCTATTATTTAAAAAAAATATACAACCTAATGGTCACACGACAAGCAGAAATGTCATGAGAGTTACCTCCCTTAAGCAAAATTCTGTAACTGTAAAACAATTGAAACTAAAATTAGTAGGATTCAAGCTGGACTCAAAGAGGTAACTTTTGTGTTAGATCTGTGTAGATATTTTGGGGAAGATGAAAAGAAGTCTGAATCATTGTTTAGGTTTGAGGAAATTGTAATTAATTAATAAATAGTTGATTAATTCAATGGATTTTGGTGCATTTTCATATTTCTAGCAATTATATGTCAAATCAATTTGCTTGCTTTATTTGTTTGTATATTTGAATAGTTAATTTCATTAAATGAATATTATTAACTATTTCCTGTAGGGGAATAACAACTTATTACTTGATGAGTCATTTAGATTAGTCTGACAATACCTATTTAAATTCACCTATTTGTGTGAATATTACTGTTTAAATCATTCAATAATGAAATCTCAGATTGCCCTGCTTTATATATTGTTGTATATACATGTATTGTAAAATAAATAAAGGTTGTGTAATTAAGAAATTTATCAATTATATCATTGTAAAGTACTAGAATGTTCTACCATAATGTGTTTCATGACATGTAATATAAATGTTGAAAGTAGCCATACCAGATTTATTTGTGTAAATAAAACTGATTAATTTTGTGTGAAAGACACTTGAATTCCTTTATCCTAGTCCATGAAGCTCTGTGATACTTATTCAATAAAAAACAGCAAGTCTGTTTCAATATCACCGGAAACCATTTTGTCATTGCCTGCAATATTATGTCTAGGTAGAACATTATACAGGTCACAATTATAGGCTTCTCTAGTCCTTATCTAGTAAATGCTTGTCGAAAGGTCGCTCAGTAATAAGCAGTTATCGTATTTCATAGAATTCCAGTTCAATTATGAAATCTCATTGAAACAATTTGGATAGACCATATCTATAGACCACACTTTCAAAGGCACTGTATTGTTGTATTGTATTCATCAAGTCACATATTAGAGGGGGAATCAGGATTAAGTTGTGGCATTCATTTCTAAACAGTTAAATATTTTAAACAGAAACTCGAAAGGGAGGGAGACAAACAAATGGTTAATTTTTTTGTTCAATTATTTGGATGGGAGAATAAAAAAACGAATGATGGTTTTGGCTATTTTGATGTGACATAATAGAAATTTTACAGTTTATCATATCATAATTGTACATGAATAAACTTTATTAATAACTTGATGGCTTTATGTAAAAAAAATTAAAAGAGTTGTAATGTACAGAAATTTATTTCAATTAAAACAAGTGTTGATTAAAATCAAATGTAATAAATAAATAAAATTTAACATCCTACTCCATGTTTCTTACTTAACCTGAAATATTAAATTTGAGTATGTTGTGAAGTATGAAACATTTTACCATATTCATATTAATTTAAACAGATGAAAATGAAAATGAAATGGGGTTTAATGTCCTACTCCAACTTGACTAATAAAGACGGACATACGCCATTCAGTGTGCTATATGGGAAAGTTATAATAATATTATGGCCTTGACTGATAGTTGTTTATTGATTCTTGGTCAAGCAAAATAACACCTGAAATAATAGAAATCTACATAAATTGAACTATGGGTTAATAACACATTTGTCGTCTTCATGGTCAGGAATGGAATATGTCTGTTGACCAAATTTAAGGCTTTTTTATCGACTTGCCAAATCGATTTGAATTTAGTGGAGATGTCATGTGACAGTCTAGTCGATTTCATAGTACTTTGGCGAGTTTGTTAAATGCTCCGATTAGCTGTAAACAATTGTTGTGGTTGGACACAGTTGAAAAAAACATGTGATCACCCGATCAAATCGCACCCTGAAGTGATTTGGCAATTTGATGTAATCGCTTCGGAAATCGGTCTCGATAAATTTGTTGATTAGGGTAACCAATTTGAATTAGATTGACGTTAAAGATGAAAATTTGGATTGAATGCAAATCACTTTGGCTATAATCAGTGCTCGATAAAAACTACCTTTAGTAATAAGTTCTTCCCAGAGTACAGTGTAGGGGGTATGCCTATTCCATATTTGTAAACTGGAACGGTGGTCAATCTATGACTTCAACCAATGAAGGTGTGGGCACTATAAAATAAGAGTGGGGGGATAGTATTTGGCAGAGCTCACACTGCCTGACTGACATAACAGCCATTACTAATTTTGGGAGCGAAGAAGATTTGTGACTAATGCTAGAAGTTTTTTATATAAATAAAAAAAAAACCAGAAAGAAATAAAATCTGAACTGTAGTTATAATTTTCATCAAGGAAGTGAAGCTGAAAAATCAAATAGTACTACAAAGTTTTCTGGACAGTGGTGCTATGCCTACTCTTATATCGAATTCCAACTGCCAAGGGGTCTTTTGCATGCACACCTATGTCACAGTTTTTTTGTCCTTTCTTAACTGTACATTGTTCCTTACCAGGCCCCCTTTCCTGCATCACTAACAAGGGGGAACCATGCCGGAAAATCCTGATGAACATTCTCAGCCAACACCTGAGAGAGCCAACGTTATACCGAGCTACTGCAGATCCCTTAAACAGAGTGGTGCAATAGCCATTTACACTAAATTTGATTGCAATGATTTGACTTGCTGTAGGAAGTTTTTAAATTTAATTTAGATGTTGCCATAATTATAACAAGATTATGCAAGATTTTTTAATCCATTAACATAGTAAAGATATTGAATATTCTTTGAGAATGTCATTTGAGAGGACTGCAGTGGTTTCCATGAGTTGTCTCCCTTGACACATCGTTTCACACTGCAGTTGATCAACTATTCAGATTGTAGACAATATGCCCAGATTTAATTTGTCAAAACACAAGTTTCTGTAATGACCAGGCATAACTTTCTGACATAATTAGATAATATTTAGATGAAACCAGAGAAAACCCACTTAGTTGGACAGGAGAACCTACTCCTCACCATTCACAAGCAGGTTACTGAAACCAAGCCACTTGACTCAATGACAGACCTATCTAATGCCCACATGTTAAACCATTAGACACCCCTCCCCCCCCCCCCCCCCCCCAACGATAATCCATACAATAGTCAAACACTTCACTGAAGTTTGCATACACATAAATCAATCATCTAATGTTAAGTAGGCTTCAGGACAAGGGTCCCTAGTTTTGTTACTTGTATTTAGTAACACCAATCAATATTCAGCCAATCGCAGCAAGACAATTTTAAACAAAAGTTAGGGAGATTAAAAATATCTTAATCGGAGCCCACACCCCATGTTGGATTAAAGATCAAAGTAACACAAAGGCATGATTTTAATACAAGACATTATTAATTTTATTATCACATTATTCTCAACTCATCATTATCAAAATTCATCCATACAATCTATTTCTTTACTAGACAAAATAATTTACATCTGATTAATGAAATATTTACAAAATGACATCTTACAATAAATAATAACATAAATTAATGTTTCAGAAATGCAAAAACATTCAATTTTAAAACTAAACAAAAATATAACTTCTAGTAACAGAACATAACAAAATTTGAATTGAAAATAAATATTTTTGTGTATTTTACTCCTAGCAGAAAAATTACAAAATATTTTTAAACGGTTGAACAGAATATAACGGAACTAATGAGAGATGATTGATTAATGATTTCTTTAACTGACTGGGATTTCATTAATATTTTGTACATTTTCTTTCATGTCAATTAAGGTTTTTCGACAGGTCTGGACAGATTTTTTATCACCGAGTACTTCATACATGCGCTGTGCTTCATTGATAAGATTAACTCTATCCGACATACTGGATACAAGTTCTTCTGGTAAATGACGTCCAGCCATAAGGAGCGCAGTAGCTTGTTCTCTTTCAGGAATGTCGCTTTCGGCATCTGAAGAAGATTCTGAAAAAAAACCAACCCATCAATTAACTGGTAAGCACTGAAAACTCTTATTATGAAAGAAGTGACATACAGTTAATGTTGTGAAACTCAAATATAACAGTAAAAATATGGGTTATTTATAATTTATAAATAAACAAAATTAATCAGTCCCTGACCTGCAAATACAAATTAAGAATCTGATGTCTTAGAATGAATTCCACGACCAGTCAATCACAAGTACTAACAAGAACCTCCTATCCAATGTCCTAGTTACTCTATTTCATAAATTTATAAATATATTTACCTTCAACTGGTAGTTTTACTCTGCGTCTAATACTACAGTCTAATAATTGTTGTGTTCTGGCGGGACTAGCACCTGCCATCATTCTACCAGTAGCTTCATGTAAAAACACCTACAAATAGACAGAAAACATTAGTTAATGCAAAACACAACATCAAACTGAAAATAAAAATAAAAAATAAAATACTAACTCAAATGATTTTGAAAAATTAAATTTGTTGACTGAAATATTAATACTGTATTGAGGATTATTTATTGTAATACTAACCTTTGATAAAGCTATTTTCATATTTTGTGATAATTTACGAAGACTAGCCAGGTCTTGTTGGAAAGCAATAAGCTCAGTTTGTGAAGCTCTTCTTGTAGTACCATCATTACCATTTTTACTAAGCTCCCATATCTCTGTTCTTGTTGTCAATAACCAATCACATAGTAATAGCTGTAATGCCTAAAATATGACAATTTCAATGAGAGATGCGTTATAATTAAATCAGTAAGTCTGACTTTAGTAATTAGAATTATTCTACAGAACACAATAATCAGAAACCTGCCAACTTGCTTCTCTGGGATCTGATTAAACAAGAAAATACAAAACTTGTACAGGTATATAATTAGCCATTTTATCATGCAGTTACATTGCAGTTCAAGCCTGCTTTCATGATGGGCATGAGCAGTTGTAATGATTGCACTGCAGATGCATTGCATAATTTATAACAAATGCAATGCAACTACAATGCACCACTAAAACCCTCTCTTCATTCTGCTTCTGTACTTTACACTGTCTTCCCTCCCCCGACTCCCCAACAACTGCTAGGATAACTTCAAATTTATAAAATAAATCTGCATCAAAATAAAGATTCAACTCACTTTGATAATATCCACATTTTCTGACAAGTAGGTTAATTTAAGACTTTCTCTTAATAAACGGCCAGCACGATCACATTGTCTGATACATGCAGAACCATTTAATGTGCTGGGCTGAATGATCAAACTCTTTCTAGCTTTAAATGCAAATAAAACAGCTCTTGGTAAAGGATCACTGAAAATAAAAAAAGATACAGTTAAAACCATATATCTATGTTGTTTGTCTTGTCGGTTTTGTTTGGCTTGTAGTGTGGTTAGCTCACATTTACTATTACAAAGGCTTTTGACGCATCTAAAACCCTATAATGTTTGAATCTACCAGAATTCAAAATTTAATATTAATTTAATAACTTTCTATTACCTTTTGTACTTCCTTCTTACTAGCCATGCCAATTCACTGTTGATATATACACCATCAATACTTTAAAGCTAATTATAATAACAGTTTAACTTGTTTTATTGTAAAGAAACTTACTCTGTTGTTTGTAGTCGTTTAGGGAAAACATCCAAAATGGAGTAGTAACGTGAAGCATTTTCATCATCTCCCATTAACCAATAATATGCTACACCAACAACAGCTGACCACCATTTAGCAGTTTCATCAATTTCTGTACAACAAAAAAAAATTTACAATAACATTTTAAGATATTTTTTTTTTTGTAAAATAGGTCCAATATTTCAACTAAATATTAAATTGCCTCAATTAAGAACACAAAACCTTTCAACAAGTGACCATATTTGCCATATCAGAAAGTTACTGAGTGAGGAATAAAAAAAAAAATCTGTTTGGATATGAGTTCTACTTACCTATAGCTTGACATATATCACTTATACTCTCTTTTCCTCTTTCAGTAGAACATTCTTCTAATAGTTGGGCATACTGCATTGTATCCGACAAATTACCAGTTCTAAAAGAATAAACCAGATTAGAAATTCTGAATATAAGACTTGAATTCATAACATTTTACAGTAAAAGGTTATTCGTAAGTATACAATTAAATTGAAAAGATTTTTCTTATATAAAGATAATGAATGAAATTAATAATATGATAAATAACCTTTGACCTACCTTCCTGGTACTTTAGGTGATACAAGAGAATATAGAGCTTTCTCAAATAATTCTTCTCTATAGGCCTGGCTTACTCTAACTAACGGATCAACTGTAATAAATAAAATAATAATCTTTACTCAACATCTAGAAAATCTACCACTTGTGATGATTCATATCCAAATTGTACAAAATATTTCAGAGGGATCTTTTATTGATGGTGTCAAAATTATTTTGCTAAGTGAATTCAACCCGAAAATTTTTCCCTAAAACAATCATGAGGTACCATTACCATGGTACCATAATCCCTTACCATTATTCTGATGACTAGATAGAATAGTTTCTTGTCGTTTTAAGGACCAATTAGAATCGATGAAGAAGCGGTGTCCTTCAGGTTGACACAACCATTGTATGCTGGAAGGGATTTCATCATTATGACCAGCACATACATGTCGTGCACGACTCAAGAAATATCTCTGAAAAATAACATAATAAATTTATAATCAAAACCAAAAATATTGTAGACTGATTTTTTGAGAACAATTTTAAGTAACTGGATAAAATTATAAATAATTATTCACAAAGCCTTTCTGTTCCACAGTTCACAAAGCATTTTCAGACTTCTTTCAATCACTGTTAATGAGAAATATCTTTGATCCAGAAACACAAAACTTTGCACATAATTTCTTATTGATGTATTATAAAAGGCTATATTTTAGTTAAACCAATGTGAACAAATTTGAGTAAATTCTTTGAGAATGCTTTGTGAACTCAGGACCTGATCTTCTAAACTTCTATCCACAAAGATACTTACTGCCACAAACATGACTTTATTGGTGAAGGCATTTCTAACTTGCAGAGCAGTAGTGCAATAAATTTCAGCCAACTCCATTCTCAAAATACTATCTTTTGCTGCTTCAGCCATGTTCACTGATGATATAGCCAAGTTTAAACCCCACATTGTACCTCTTTTGGAATGACCTGATCAGAAGTAAATAAGTAAAATTTGATTATTAAATTGTGTACAAAAATACAGGACAATAAATTTAATGTGGCCCACTAAAACATTTCAAGTTTTGGACTAATCGATCAGTTATGACTTATCTACTTCATTATTGGGTGAAATTATAAATTTTAAATTCTAAAAGTAATTTTTTTAAAATTCAAAACAAATACTAACCACATAGATTAAGTTGATTTAGTTTATGGTAAGCCCAGGCAGCATTTTTAGCCGATAATTTAATGTCATCAGACGAGACACGACTGAATAAACCTCCAGCTTTACCACACAGCCATTTACCAAGATACAGTCTATGTAGTAACTGTCTGAATGACTGCCATAATAGACTACTAAACACATCAAACTTGGAGGTTGGTAGAGGACGACCCAAAGCTAGAAGACATAATCGTAGTTGGCTGATAGCTGCTGAATAATCTGCCTATAAAAAAGAAAATTGAAAATAATGATCATAAAAGCATCAAAATTTTTTTTGCAGCATTTTTATAAGATATCAATTATGGCTAATCGATTTGCAAATCGCATTCAATCATGTTTACGTCAAAAATTTGCCTAATCGGTTTTACATAACCGTTGTATTTACCATGACGATTTACCAAGTTGATTATGCCGATCTTCCAACTTGCTCGCCTGCCGGATTGACAACTCAATTTCCAAGATGGCGTCCTCCACAAGCGACGTTAGTTCATTTTCTTTTTAATTTTAGATTAAAAATACACATATTATGGACATTCCTAATACAAATACGGGCATTTGGGAACAGTCAACTGGTACAAATTCTCGTTTTTATTTTTGGGCGGTTTCAAGAACAGAATAAAGAAAAATGAATGTAACATTTTTCCTCAATCCTTCAGCCATCTTGTGAAGCAACTTGTCACATTTACGAAAACCAACACCAACAAAAGACCTACGTCATGTACAAAACGAGATAGGCAATCAAAACCAATTTGTTTTCTTGTAAAAAGCCTCTGATCTCCAGATGTTGAGTGCTTCAGGGCTGACATGCCTGCCAAGGACTTTTACTTTTTTGGTGTAAACATACAACCATACTAACACTCCAGATTGCTTTTATGACCGGTTGACCACTCTTTCTACAATACAAACTTATAATTCCTTTAGCTAACAATTTTTATAAAATTTGAACTTACTCGTGATATGTCTACATCTGCTTGTTTCCTATGACGCCAGTATGAAACAGTTGCACTACTTTCTTTATTAGTGACTGGTTCACCGAAAATAAACAACTTGGCCAATACACCAACAACAACAATACCATTCATTAACCAGAGAAACACAGTAGGTAACATCCAATCATACCAACTTGCTACATCTGAAATAAAGTACCCAAAAATAAAATAGGGGGAAATATAATATATCTTAATATTTCGAATTTTAATATTTATTCATGATAGTGAAGATTAACATTACAATTCAATTGCAGGTCGTGTGATCAATGCCATCATCGTCTCAAATAAAATTTCCAAGACCACACAACAGGTTAGGCCATTTCAAATATTTCATTTAAGCCTTATAATTCAACATTTGTAAGTTTAAAATTATAATTTCTAAAATTGTGCTTTCTTTTTGTTGTTTTAGAGTGCATAGTTAATACATGTACTAACCAGAATCTTCTATGCCTTGTAAAGTTCTTCCAGAATGTCCAACATTTGATGAAAACTTTTGCCCAATTCCACTTTTGAAAACAGCGTTAAATGGATTAAAAGCAAGGACAGCAAACATGAACACACATAGAACCATTCTTGATCGATCCAACATTCCTGACTGATCAAAACTGTCTTCATTAGAGCTATCCATGGGTGAACCTATAAAACAAATGAATTCTAGTTTATTTTTACTGCATATATCGGCAAAGCGTATCGTCTAAAACATCTGTTCCCTAAGTTGAACACTAAGTTGAAAATGTCAGGTACTATTACATTAGTGTCTGACATTTTGTCAGGTTCATCTAAAACCGTTATTTTCAGGCCTGTTACTAAAGATAAAATATTACCTGGTGAGTCATCAAAGAGTGGACTATTAGGTGAGGAATCACTGTCAAAGGTATGTGGACTGTGACTTGGTGAACTATGATCCGAGGATGGAGGGGTCAATGGCATACCACTTGCATCTCCCATATCTCTTGGTATCGATAACAACTCTTCTAAATCTGGAAAATAATAAAACAACATTTTAACTTATCCCTCATTCCAAATATATCTTAACTAAAACATTTATTTTATCTTCAGAATGTTATTTCTGTTGTATCCCTCTAAAGAAAATTGATTGGGTATTTAGTTAGTACTCACTTTGTTTTTGTGCTGCCATTCTCAACGCCATATTTTCCTGTTTCAGTCGAGCATTAGAAGCTTGCATGTATCTCACATAATCTATAGCTTTTCTCAATATGGCAGACTTATTCAACTGAAAAATCAAAATGGTAGAAAAACTTTATGCAAGGAGACAAAATACCACTTCATTTATTTAAAGAACTTTTTTACAGCGTGACATATGATATTGCATAATTTATCAAAAGCTATTTCAACCAGCGGCATACCACATCATTACTTATATAGGTCTGACAGTTTTTTTTGATGCAAGATGTAAAATTTAATTTTGGCTGTGTTTACCTTAGCTTCTTTGCCTGCAACGAGATCTTTTAATTCAATTATTTTATCATTTATACTGAGACGATATCTTTTTTCTATGGCATTATGGGCAGTGCGTTTCTCTCCCCTTCCTTTCATCTTTGGAACAGAATTAAGGCGATTAATGGGTACTTTTTCATTGTCGACAACTTGTACCGGTATACTGGTTAATATGGTATTGCCACAGCTGGATACTATGGTTTGTAGAGGAGTTGAACTGATGCCAGACGATGTAACTGTGGGTGTACTGGACAAGGTAACAATATTACTAGGTGCTGATGTTGAATTTACCGAAGCATTGACTTGATTTTGCAGTAAAAGCTGAAAATAAAGAATTAGTTCCACATTTTTTAACCAACATCAGCAATATTTTATCTTTCTATAATATCTGATTCAAGCGGGTTATGCAATGATCTCAATTCCGTATTTTGAGATCACAGATTGATACTTTCCTAGAATATTTTAATGTTTTTTTAAGTCCAAATAACTGTATGAATTGTGAAAAACCAGTGTTAAGACAATCTTGTATTCATAAACACTAGCGTTAACAAGTTCAAGGAACTGCTGCAGAAATGAATTCATAATTATCATTTACAGCAATTACTCAAAATCATAGTTTCTCCTATTATTACACCGCAAGACAGTGAAAAGGCACACCTATCATGACGATGTTTTGCATTCAATAGCAATATTTGAATTGCCTAAGTTGTCGTCAGATATTTAAATGAAAAAAGAAAGTGTTTTTTTAAGAAGTTTTAATGAAATTTGACCAAATTTCGAATATTTGAGCAAAATTTATAAAGACCTGGAATTTCCAGGGTTCGGGAGCTCTGCAATAAAATGGTACAAACCTGCTGTAATTGTTGAACACTAATGGAGTTATTTGTCTGAGTAACTGTTTGTTGTGGTTGTTGCTGCTGCTTAACAACCGTATTTGGTGCAACCTGCGTAGATCGTGTTTGTCCATTACTTGTGACCAAGGGTTGTTGTAAAATTAATTTCAACTGTTGTTGTGTTTTGGGAGTAGGTGGTGAGACTGTCACCTGTTGATTTTGAAGACGGACAGCTGCCTGTTGTGCCTGTAATTGCTGCTGTCTCTGTATTTGTTGTTTTTGTTGTGTGACAAGCTGAGCTTGCTGTACTACTGCCTGAAGTTTGGCAGCTGATGTACTGAACGTACTTTCTGGTCCAGTCTTTTCACTCAATTCTAGAATGCTTCTCAAAGCTGTGGAGTTAAGATTTTCCAAAACATCTAGAGCATTATACAGTTTATTTTCGGGGTAATGAGTAACTGGTTCTTGCTTTACAAGGAGGGAGACTGGTGGGGAATTCAAACCAAAGTTCACATCTTGCTTTAGTACTGCAGGATTAGAAATTGGGCCAGCTATGGGTGGAGAATTCAGGTCAACATCATGTTGTATAGAAACATTTCCATAGGATACTGGTGTACCATTAAAACACAGGACCTCTGATTCTTGTTTAAGATGCGACTGATCGAGCTGACTATCAAATAGATCACATCCTCCATTCAGATCAGCGCTGTTAATATACTGTAAAATATCTGAAATACACAAAAGTAGACATAAAGGCTTCTTAATCAATATTCTAGAAACTGAAAGAAACGATGCATGATTTGCATTTTTCAGAAAATATCAAATTTCTAACTGCTTATTCCACGCTTATTTAGTTATAAAACATTTAATTAAGAAAAGAAAATCAAAATATCAATCCTATATAATCTCCTGGATTGGATACGATTTGAAACAGACCCATCAAATTGATTCAAGGCAATTTATAAAGATGGCGGCCGTCATGATACATAGGGAGCTGTATAGATCGATCAAGTTTTCAATTCATCATATCCAGGGCTCGAAATTCGTTTTTTCGATCGAAGGCCAACTTTGGCCTACGATAGTTGAAGTCGCAATCTGAGATTAGGCCTACTCGTCTACTGATTCACGGAATCACATTCATATCTAATGTTTTTATAATCTAACTCAAGCTTCCAATTTTTGCTAAACCGTAGGGCCTAAATATAATAACCTGTAATTTTCGAGTCTAATTAAAACAAAAACCTCCATTTCCATAATCCCAAAATTTGTTACTGATGCCCCTTCTCCAAACTCGACCATAAGCTCATGACTTATTGACTACCGTACTGACTAGGTTAAAGGAGCTAAAGCGCTAATATTTTGGGCCTAGAAATTGGCACAAATGGGTCGCAACACATATAATAATGTAATATGAATTGATATAAACTGTTTTACATTCAATCGTTTCCGTTTTACTGTGATTTGTCATTAGTTATGTTCGGCGAAATACACCAGAAGTCTCAACCGAAATACAGTTTCTAGCGTCTGGTTATTCCAGTTAACACCGATAGTATATATTGCGCATGCTCTCCAAATAAGAAAATGGCATCATCGTTTGACACGACTTGTGGAATGTCTACCCGCATTCTTTGAGCACCTTGTAACCCTTGTTACAAATGGCGCTGAAACGCATTATGGTACACGATTCGTGTACCAATGGTAAAATGTTTATTTTGTCTTAAATATTGGATATCAGAAGCCCATCTTTTCCAGGTAAGACCACAACACCAATGCTGATTTAAATTGCAAAAAAAAATCGTGTTTTCAAATCCATGTCGAAGATTTTGGATGATATTGAGTTACGGACTTAGCTATTTAAAGTTAAAGTAAAAGTTAAACTTTAAGTTAGTTATATGACCTGTTTTTGAATCCGTGTATTATAGTTTTAGACTAGGCTAATAAAAGTTCTTTTAGTTTTATTGTCCTGTCTACAGGATAGTTCTACATTTTATGTGTATTACAAATTTACAACCAATATTATAATGAATAAAGAACAGTCACAAATAGTGGATGAGTGGTCGCTGATCAGCCGGACAGTCGATGTTGTTCAATGTTTGTATTATTTTCAACATAAAATCATTTCTTTACCATAGAATTTCATGAAATTTTAACATTTTGATACTTACCATCTACATCATTTAATCCGCCATTATCTATGTCTGTTGTGGCTAATAAATCGGGCCCAAGATCGGGCAAATTATTAGCATTCACCGACCAGCTCATTTGGTCAGCCATTTTCGTTTCTGACTGAGTATAACACCACGAGACTTTATCCAATGAAATTGCAAGGTAGGATCGGATGATTTTTCGTCATTGCTTATTTACAAGCTTGAATGTATGACCCGGAAACAAAATAATAAGGTCGTGGTTCATAAGGTGATTTTAGAATGACATCAGCCGAATGCGCGAGTCATGCATAGGGCGGTAAATATTATTACACTGGCTCGTGGTAAGCGCGCGACTGCCTAACAAGTATTTATTTATATAACGATGTTTGGAACAAGTGGAGGTCATAACCCTGTCAGTAACACTAACGGAAACAGTCACACCCTGCATGAGTCCCCTAACCGTTTTCCTTGCATCTCCAACTCGCCGCTGATTACAGTGAGCTCCCAGAATCAAAGCGGTGACTGGAAAGCAGTTTGATAATTGCCAATAATATATAGCCTATCTCAAGTCATTATTTACTCCTAATTATTAATCCAACCAAGCGGTGATCATTTGATGTTTCGTTTCGTCTTTAAAGTTTAACAAAAATGGCCAACAGTTCTTTTCGAAGAGAATTAAAAATTTTGATAGTCATGAATTCCGTTTACTATATTGCTTCATACGGCATGTGAAATTTACAAGCATGTGCATGGGCGTCACACATGGGGGGAGGGAGGAGTCCGCCCCCAATTGTTATTCGGGGGGGGAGGGGCTGAATATACTTGGACCCCCGCCCCCCCCCCCCCGAAAAAAAATAGTGGCATAGTAGGCCCTAACTCCTATTTATTTACAACAATTATTAGGATTAGTTAAGATTCTATCTATTTCACCGCTACGCCTCTGAGCATGTGGATATTATTATATCAATTTATAGTGCCACCACTGGTCGGAAACGTAAGAACGGGTTGAGCGACGATTCTTGAACGAGAAAACATTTCTCCATTTGTATCACATTACCGTCGCCAAAATGCTCTAAAAGTGAACGACGAGCATAATTCGGCAAGGGCGAATCCAGGAACAAAAAAACTCCAACATATAGTGTTCTTTTTCTATATTTTTACCCAGTTTTCGTATAATACAAACAACCGTTCTTTACAGATGGGGTTGGGTTGGGGAATGGTCTTATGCGTCATTGAGTCATGTGGCGTGACAAGGGGTAGGTTCGTCTGTACAATCTTTTGGGGCATCTGCGGGTTCTCCACTTCACTTCCACAGCTGAAAACCCGTGCGCGTATGCGAATTATTGAAATTAAATTAAACCTCCCCCCTCTATCTCTCTCTCTCTCTCTCTGAGTTTTCTAATTTTATACGCCCACATTTCAATGTGGGTGTATTGTATGTCGTCACCCTGTCCGTCGCTCCGTCAACAATTGGCTTGTGAAAGCGATTGCCTAGAGTTTTTGCCGGATTCTTCTCCAATTTTGGCGTGAAGCATCGTGGTCATGAGAGGACGAACCCTATTCGATATCTGCCTTCTATGACTTTCTGTTCCGGGTTTATCCTCCCTCTGCCGACCCCGATATATAGGCTACAGTTTTCGAAGAATTCTTTTCAATTTTGGTGAGAGAGAGAGAGAGAGATACGGGGTTTAACGTCCACTTTACACAAACTAGGTCATTTCGGGACTAACACACGGTTCAGCTTTATTTCATAATTTGTTTGGGCGTAGGGGTCTTTATATCAGTATCATAAGGTCTGTGATTGAGTCAACTGGTGGGGTTTCGATGTCCCGGTTGTACGTGACAAGGAGTAGGTGTAGCAATATTGCTAGAATTTTTGCTCTTAAAATTAATGATGGCATTATATTGTATTAATTAATATCTTTGGCGGCAAGTTATTAGATTCACGTATATATATGTACTTAAATCAAGTTAGCGAATGAGTGGCATATTGTTACATAAAAAGAGTCCTAATGTGGTAAGCATTCAATTCTAGGTTGATAACAGATATCTTGTGGGAAATTTCTCCAGTAAATTTCCACTAACTATATAAGGCTGGTTTCAACGTCATTTGGCTTAATTAACCAATCTCCCTAATTATTTACATCATATTTGACCAATTAGATAATTGAAGGTCTAAAACCCAAAGCTACAAAACTATCATACTTGTGAGAATTCGTCAGACAGCAGACAGATTCTGGAAGGGAAAAGATGTAACAATTTCTATCAGCAGATTCGCCCCGCCGAGTCTGGCTGGATGAGGTTGGAGCAGATGGCTTTATTCTATTATGCATTGTACCATATGTAAGCAGCTATGATATACTATTCAAAAAAAGTAGGGGATATTTGATTTTGGGGGCATAATACTAAAATATGCAAATGACTACGAAAAAAGTCACTATAGAACCTAACAGAAGAAACATTTCCAGTTACATGTGACGCCCAAACGCACCAATAGCTACCGCATGGAATGCATGTGATGCTTGGGATCATCATGGGGGTCCAACCCAAGATTTGCACGACTCTGACTTTGAATGTTACAGTCATTGTGGCATTGAATTCCAGGGTGGAAACATCAGTTTAATTGTTTTAGTGACCAGAAAACAAATTTTGATATGCGTCGGCTTACCCAAAATGAAAGGTTACGTGCCCTTGGCATGCTACAGATCGGCACAACACAGGCGGTTGTGGCGCGGACGATGAATGTTTCTCAGTCTGTCATAAGCAGGCTATGGTCCAGATACCGTGATACACAATCTGTACAGGACAGACCACGCTCAGGTCGACCAAGGGCGACAACTCAAGCCCAGGATCGATTTATCCGTACCTTGGCCTTGAGAAATCGTGTCATCACAGCAAATCAGATCAGCGCTCGTCTTCAAACAGACACTGGTGTGAGAGTGAGTGGCCAGACGATTCGGAATCGACTGCATAGGGGTCACCTTCGCGCCCGACGTCCTCGCGTGATCCCTTGTTTGAGAGATCATCACATTCAGGCAAGACGTCGTTGGTGTAGGGATCGTCAACACTGGGATAATCGACGCTGGAGCAATGTGATGTTTTCAGATGAGTCAAGGTTCACTGTTGATTTTTTGGACAGACGTAGGAGGGTGTGGCGTCGTCGAAACGAGCGCTTCCAAGACGTTAACGTCATCAGACATGATCGATTTGGGGGTGGTTCTGTTATGGTGTGGGGAGGCATCACTGTTGCTGGAAGAACGGCTTTACATGTTGTTGCAGGGCGTGTTACAGGCCAGTACTACCGGGACAACATCTTGGCAGTCCATGTTGTGCCGTTCGCACGACGTCATGGCCGCCGTTTCATCTTCCAGGATGACAACGCAAGATGTCACAGGGCCAGGATCGTTACAGGTTACCTCCAACAACAGAACATCACCACATTACCTTGGCCAGCACTGAGTCCCGACCTCACCCCCATCGAGCATGTCTGGGACATGCTTGGACAGAGGTTACGTCAACGTCAACAACGTCCTGCCAATGTCCAAGAACTTGCTGCTGCGTTGCAACAGGAATGGGACAATCTGGACCAAAATGACCTTAGACGTCTCATTAGGAGTATGCCACGTCGGATCAATGCTTGTTTGGCAAACAGAGGAGGATTTACCCGTTACTGACTTGGTTGTGATGCTGTGGTAACTTTGCTGTTTGACCCCGGGTATCATTTTACCCTTATAATGGTCAGTCTGTGCCTTACTTAGTCTAACGATCATTTGGAATAAATCGATGAATGTGAACTTCATTTCATTTTGTCATTTGTTTCTTCGTCAGTTTCATTAGGTGACTTTAATAACACTTAAAAATCAAATATCCCCTACTTTTTTTGAATAGTATATATAAAATGTAAAAACGAACTGTTGCATGGTTTTTCCTGGTAAGACAAACGTCTTAACTAACTGAGATAGATACGTCTAACAAAAGACCCATGGTGCTACATAGGGTCGACCGCCCAACCTGGTAGGTTTTCTCCGGGTCCTCCGGTCGCCCCCCCCCCCATTGCTAAAAGAGTCCTACGCGTATACATGTTGGTCCCGAAATGACCTAGTTTGTGTCAAGTGGACGTTACCCCCCCCCCCCCCAACATCCCTAGGACAATTTACAAATAGAATCAATTTACAAATCTTCCAATGATACGAATCTTCAAAACAAAAGCACTACAATTTTACAGAAAAATATTGGATAGCAAAATATTTTGGTTATCTACTTATCGGAGCTTTTCTTAAAATTACTATACTATAAGCTTTGTACATTATTTATAAAAACAGAGTCATAGCAGGCGCGTGTCCTCACAACTCGCGCAGAGCATGTGTGTTTTGTTTCTCAATAACGTGGAACAAACATCCGTGCGAAGTATTGCCGCCGTTTTTCCATTACACCGCACAAAGGGGATCACGTGGCTAAGTCGCTAAGACGCTGGCTCGCTAGCCTGGAGGTCGGGTGTTCGATCCCTGCATTGGCCGAGAAAGTTCATCCAGATTTTCCGGCATGGTTTCCCCTTGTCAGTGATGCAAGATGGAGGGCCTGACAAGGACAGTTGTCTAATCGTTCGGATGGGACGAAACATCGATGTCCCGAGTATAGATTGACGTTCACGTAAAAGATCCCTTGGCAGTTGGAATTCGATATAAGAGTAGGCCGTAGCGCCGCTGCCCGGGCAAAATTTCCCTCATAGCACACTGTATGGCGTATGCCCGTCTTCATTAGCCCAGGTTAGGAGCAGAACAGTATGACGTTAAACCTCATTTCATTTCATTTCACTCCGCACTACTACACATGTATGCCCTTTAGGTCTTGCTGGCTTAGCTGGTGGGCCCAAAAGCGTCAAAAAAATGAGAAATGGTACTCTGTTAGTGGAATGTGCTAAAGAATCACATGCTACTTCGTTATTAAAATCAAAAACTTTAGCCAACATTCCGATCAAAGTTACACCGCATAACTCTCTTAATTCACCAAGAGGTGTTATTCGGTCTCAGGATTTAGAAGGCAGCTGTGAGGAAGAGATGCTTGAAAATCTCACCTCACAAGGTGTTACATATACGTCAAACGTATTTCCATCAGACGTAATGGTATTATTATCCAAACCAACACCTATATCCT